AGGTGGATAAATGTTTTTATGCTTTCTTTCATTTTTAAAAAGGTTAAATATAATTAAAGTGATAAGTAGAATTAATTTCAAAAATATTTACAAAGCCATTACTCCAACACTATTGCCTGAAAACAAAACCAGTTTTTGAAAATACAATAAACCTCTAAAAAATTACCTTTTTTCCAAAATATTTAAACATTTTTTTGAATAAAAATCTCTCTCTATCCTCGTCATAAATGTCCTCTCGTTTAAAAAACAAATAAAAACAATAGACTTGCATTTCTCGCACCAGCTCTGTCCATTATGGAATGTCCTTCGTCCTGGACACGGACACGGACACGGATACGGCTACGCAGGATATGCATGGAAATGGAAATGGAATTACTGGGCGGGGCTGACTTGACTTGGCCTGGCCTGGCTTGGCTAATGAAGACCAATGACGTCCGACTGGTAATAGAACGAACGGGGCTTTAAAGGCGGTGGTTCGGGGGGGGTGTGGAGCTGATTGACCTCAGCTTATTGGACCATCAATCAATTAGGCGCCATTTTCGTTTCCATGAACGCATATACACTGCGAATCCATATTCCTGCATCATGTTGCAAGTTGCATGTTGACCTCGCTGTTGCTGTTGCTGCTGCTGCTGCTAATGCTGCTTCTGCTTTATTCTTCTTCTTCTTCATCATGCTGCTCCTGCGATGACGTGCGACATGAAAACAATGACGTCACAAGCGGGGAAAACTAGTGCAAATAAACGCTGCACGCATGCAGATCGATGTGGCTGGGACCGTATTTTTTTTATGCATTCACTTTTTATTGCCACTCATTGTTTAGTTAAGGTTAATGGTTAAAAAAAATATGTACATATAAAAAACTGGCATAAAAAATATTTGCACAAGAAATATTTGAAGAAAAGAAATATGCAGAAACATAAATGGAAATGTTTGAATTACAATTTTTAATGGCAGGTTTTAAATTTCATTCAAAATAAAGAGACCTTGAAAAGTTTTCAGTTTTTTTTTAAAGTTTAGTTTTTATTACAAAGTTACCTATTTAAGAAAATAGTCTCTAAAGCTCTTAAATAAGCTTAAATACTTGATTTTTTAAGAGATTAAGAAATATACATCGTATTTCAATAAATAAAATAGCAATGTTTTGAAAAGCAAGTTACAAAATAAAGTCTGAAGTAATTATTGCATAAAAATGTCATTAAATTTTTGTAAATAAATCATAAGTATGTAATTATTAATATACTTTATAATACTACTTTATAATTATCATTATACTTTATAATAATATTTATAATATTTATAATTATAAAGTAAACTTGAAATATGCTTGAGTTATTGAGAGTATTGAGTATTGAGAATGTTTTTCAAGCAGCTTTTGAAATACACTTTCAAAAACTAATTTTAAGAAAATATTTACTCTTAAAACAAAAGTGTTTTCAAATGTTTATTTTAACTATTAACTAACTAGCTAAAAATTAAACTTATAGTGTTGAAAATATTAATTGAAAAATCTATGAAACAAAACCATATCAACAAAAGAAGATCACTTAATATTGGAAGTTAAAAACTTACCTAGAAATATACCTAAATTTGAAAAACCGCTTTGTAAAATTTTAATTAAATTTAATACCTATTTTTGAATAAATTTTCCCTGTGGATGGCAAAAAAATGTTTGAAAAATGCAGCAGCTAACAGCTATCGGGTTTCTGGTTTCAAAGCATTGTTGAACATTCCACAGGACTCTCTTCAGAGTAACCGAACGCTGACAGGACGCAGCCAGGACCTGCACACACGCATATACACATTTTCATAATGCAACTGGAATCTGGCATGTATGTATAAGTAGTAGATGGATTTGTGGGCGGGTGGTGTATGTATATAACCCTAAATGGGTCAGCCAGCAGCGACAAATAGTTGTCAGGTAGAGCCAAGCCAGGCAAGGACACACCACCCCCCCCCCACCATCCACTACCCTCCACTTTTTATAGTAGTGGCGGTGGGTGGCAGTGGCAGTGGGTTTAGACAACGGTCTGTGGGGTTATGACGTTTGTTTTGCTTTGACGCACTCACCGTCGAAAGCAGAGGAGAGTATAGTGATGACCATGTCGATGGTCTCTGGGCTTTGAGCCCGAAATGGAGTTTAATGCTGCGGGAGCCCCGGGATTTGCATCTCAGGGATTTGCCTGGGAAAGTATCTGGCAGATACGTGTCAAATTAACAATCAACAGATTTAAAACTGGGTCAAATATTAAAAAAAAAACAAAAACACAAAATAGCAAGTGGTTGTTTGTTTTTTGTATTCCTTTAGAGATTTTTATATTTTTTAATATAAATTAAGTGCAAGGATTACTAAGGAATATGGTGGGGTTTTTAAGATATATAAAACTATAAATCTTCTAGCTATCATAGGCCTTTTAAACCTAGATATACCTTTATGATTACTTTAAATATTAAAGATTATTTCTAAGATCTTACGAAATGTTTCAAAAACAATTTCCACACCTTTTTAATCACACCTGTAAGTCTACAATTATATAACAAATACATATATTATTATATTTATATTACCTGGGTAAAAACCCCAAAAACAAAGAGATATTGTAGAATGAAAATAGTACATCGGACCACCACCCAGACCCTCCCCGAGTCCCTCATTATGTTTCCTGTTTGCCAAAGTACCCAAAAATAAAGCATGTTTTTAAAGAAAAACAATTTCTAAATTTCTAAATTCATAAATTAAAACAGAAAATGGGGGGTGGGTGGGGTAACTACACCCACACACACACACAAACAACACACCCATATGTATATCTGACGGAGGCTGCAAAATTGTTTAAAATGTTTTAAACGAAAATAAAGTCAAAAAATAGAATCGTCCAGACATAGACGAACTGATCATATTCCCTACAAAATACTAAAAATACTGAAAAAAAGCTAACTACAAATCAGCTAACCCACTGCCCTTCCAACATATAGATATATCTATATACTGTATATCCAGCCCCCTGGAAGCCCCCAGGTTCTATATTTAAAAGAAAATGTGAAAGAAAGAAGAAAAACAAACCAAGAATGAGAAAAAAATCATCAATAATACATTTCGAAAAGCAACATTATTTTTTTTTTGTTTTTTTTTTTCGGAAACTTTATAGAATAAGAACATTTACATACATACATTTTTTCTATGTATATTTTTATTTATATATTATATACACATAGAACTGATGTACATACATATATATACGATGAAAAATTTCGATTCTTGGCTAGCATTTTGCATATAACGCTTCGAAAATTACTTTCAACAAAACGTTGCAAGGCAACGGGGCGTATGCGTATTTTTTTTTTGTTTTAAATCTTTTGGCTGTGGGCGCTGCAGCGTCATCCGCCAATCTCTGCTATAGCTCTCCTATAGAGCTTACCATTCTATATAGACACCTATATAGTATAGGCTTATTCCATACATCGGCATTATATTTAGATTCGCTCGATGCCAAAGTAATTCTGCCTAAACATTGATATTAACAAGACGGATATAGGCTATACTATATGTGGCATTCATTATTCAAAAGTTTATAGTTATGTCAGCGTACCTCGGGCCAGATAAATAGCCGAACAAACTGAGGGCGATGGTTAATGACTGTTTCTAGATCAAGTCCAAAGTGACAGGATCTCTAAAGCTATAGTACAAAAATAACATTCATTACCTTTATTTAAATTAAATATATTATAAGAATACTTTCTTACTTTTCTGAATTGTTGTAGACTTTCTTTTAGACTTTTATTATTCGGTTTCATTAAAATTCTTTTTTAAAAATAGTCTTTTTAATAATATATTGAAAATTGACTTTGAATTTATTACTTGTTTGTTTTGAAAAGAGTTTTTTTTATTAATAACCTATAGATGTTAGTATTTTAAAGATATTTCGAAATATTTCATAAAGATTTCCATTTTCTGTGGTGTTTTACGATTTTCTTTCGAAAGTTTTGGAATCTTTTGTTAATTTTAAAAGATTCTTAAACAATTTATCGTTTTTTCTTAATAAAATAATCTTAATCTAAAGAGAATAATTTATAAAAATAATAAGATTTTAGTAAAATATTAAACCTCTTTTCAAAGTCCCCTTATTATGAAAACCATTTCAAAAACCCTGTTTTCAAAAACTTTCAAGAAACTCTTAACTTTTTTATGAAACTTTTAACAATTTTCTATAAAACCTCAATTATTATTTTTGAAATAAATCATTAAATTTAAAAAAGGAAGTTTTTTAATTATACTTCCTTAACAAAATCATTTTAAATTCAATAATTTTTGATATTTATTCCAGGGCTGTCGAAATGTTATGCCTACTGCAGGTATTTTTCCATGCCTGGTCCAGTGGTAGACCCCCTTTAGCGGCCCCCCCTCTAAGTCCATCTCCGCCCCTGCCTCAGACCTCTCCCCCCCTCACCCCCTCTGTCATGCCATTTGGGCCTAAATGCAGCGATTTGGCTGCCGTTCTCTCAACTGGAGCAAATTTATTTTTATCCAATGCATTGAATTCCAAGCGGCTCCGTTTACACCAGAAAACACACACACAGATACAAAAACACAGATACAAATACACTACCAGATACTTCTCCAAGCGGTGCAGCCTGGTTGGGATTCGCATTCGGATTCGGATTCTGATTGGGATTCGGATTGATGTTCGGGACTTGTGGTTCGTGTGTTCGGAAACGATCGTTAGAGGCGAAAAAGTTTTTTTCGGTATCCATTTCGATTTTGGGGCGATCTATTTTTAGGCCTCACGCCCAGATACATGGCCAAAGCACCCCTACCGCCCCCCACACCCCTTATGGTGTGATGATCGCTCTCTCTGTCGCTCTGCTGTGTGAAGGACGGTGGGCAGGTGGGCGGCAGATATACGTCTGTATATGACTGACTGTATGTGTGTGTTTGTTTTAACTGTTAGCTTTGGGAACGAACGGTACCACGTATCCGTATCCGTTGAATGGCCGGCCACTAGAATATAGTCTGCCGTGGATCGTCGGACCGTTCAGTCTTTTTGTGTCGTTCAGTATCATCCGATTCGTGTGATCGACAGCACAGCCGAATTTTTTTTCTTTTTTTTCTAATTCCTTGAAGGTGAGTGCTTGAAACGGAGCAACATCCAACAAGCAACAAATCCAAATAACGAACAACTCTAAAAGAAACTTCAAACTTATCTCGCAAATAAATGCAACAAAACAATACCAAAAAAACAAAAAAAATGTTGCAAACATTCAAGAACCGAAAAACTAAATGATGGAAAATTAAACAAAATGATGTGCCAAGGAACTGCCTATTTTGTTTTTGGATTTTGTGTGTGTTTGAGCCACTAAAGGATATATATTTTTTTTTTGGAAGACAAAAACAAATACTATATTTTTTTAAATATTTTTTTCAAGTGTTTTGCAAAAACAAGTGTCTACCGGTTACTATAAGAAAGAAAGGGAGAAAACCCCCCGAAAAGGAAACCTAAAATTCAAAACTTTAACTTTTATTTTTTTGTGAATTTTATTTTATTTTTTTTTTGCTTTAAAAAATACTTGATTTATTTTTGAGTTATGTAAGCAAATGCAATAGATGCGTTTGTGCGTGTGAGTGTTGAGAATGTTAGAGTGTGTGTGTGTGTGTGTGTGTGTGCGTGGCGAAAGCTAAAAATGTATCCCAAAGATACAAGATACATTTCGGAAAGCTAAAAGCTGAAAATGCTGCTCAGCCAGTGCCTCAAAATAGAACAAACGAATGAATTTTCACAAGAGAAGAGATCCCAAGAGAAAAATCAAGATCCACACACACACACATACATGCTCAAAAAACACACACACATATAGACACAAATATTAAAAAATAATATCTGGATAAATACTCTACTTTTTGGATCAATTTTTTGTTCCATTTCTTTGGCGGAATTGTTTTTTTTTTTTTTTTTTTTTAATATATATATATAAACAAATGTAGAAATCATAAATAGCTGCAATATTCGTGTATCTATCAACAGGTTTATTTTTAAAACTCACAGATACAAGATACAATAGAATCCGTCTCACTTTAGCTTTCACCTTAGGCTATACCACAATGCTAAATGGAGATTTCTTCAACTTTTGCTAAAAAAAAATAGTCCCACTCTGCGTCTATATCTTTTCTGTATATATAGAGTATAGAGTGTATAGCCGAAGGTCGTCATTGTCAGAACTTTTTCACACCTTTTTTCCTCTCAGAATATCGTAGGAAAATCAGGTCTATATTTATGCACAGCCTATAGCTTTCAGCCATATGGTGTGGTAATGGCATGTCTGGCTATTTCAACAATATGTTTCAGATCTCCTAGATATCTCTTAGATAGTATCTGTAATCCATAAAGATTTTTATGAGCTTTTAAGAGGTTTGAAGTTATTTAGGAGTGGAAGTTAATGAGCCTTTTTTTAAACTGATAAAAAATGCAATTTTGAAAAATATATATTGTTTTTTCTAGCATTTTATTGAAAAGAAAAATTGATTAGAAAAGTCTATAAGGAACTCTATTCCGAAACCCTAAAAAAAGTCTTATTTTGTTATTATTTCTACTAAGAAAAGTTCATTGCACAAAAAAGTAATCTATTAAAAATATATATTCCTTGAATCTAAAACTTTCTAAATCATAAATTAACTGAAAATCAGCTGGCTATATATTCTCTCTCGATATTTTCCTTGATCCATCGTGAAATCGGATATCGAAGAGAGACCAAAACCCGAAGAGATTGCCAAAAAAAAAAGGCTAAAAACAAAAAAAATAACAAAAACACCCACGCCAAAGTAAATGAGAGCGAAAAACTGATCAAAAGAGAGAGCAAAAACGTGTGTATGTGTGTTGTCTGGGGTTGCCCCCATATACGGCATGAGGCAACGGTGCGTATACGTAATACGCCGCCATAAGCATTGCGCATACGCACTGTGGTACGTCAAGAGATCGTAGGTGGACTGTGTGTGGGAGTGTGCGATTGTGTGAGTGCGTGGGAGAGAGCTACTGACTGATTTATGGAACAGATGCCATACATACATATACAAAAAAATAATACTACATATATAGTTTAGGATATAGATATGGGACAATCGGAATGATGTCATCGAAGAATTTCGAAATCAAAATTTCATTTTACCTCCAGTTCCAGTTGCTTGAGATTTAAAATTTGGTTTTCTCTTCATTTCGTTTTCCAGTAACCAAAAACACAAATCAAAATGGCTGATGATGAGGTGAGGTAAGTAATCGAAACTGAAACTAAGCCCCCCCAGAAGGCAAACAGAGGATTAACCTTTAACCTCTATCCGCAGTAAACTAATTTTTTTGTTGGATGTCACGCAATTTCGAGTCGGTTTTTCGGAATGGATATGATGGACGGACTATAACCTGGCCTACGTTGGATACTGAATGATAGAACGGTAAGTTTGAATATCATAATTCCATAGATATTATCATACCACCTCATTGCCATCATCCGCTCTCAAGTTCCTGAATCCATAAGCCAAAAAAATGCCTTTCTCTTGCTTCTACAGGATCGCAGATGCTTCCCCCCAAAATACCGATATCTTTCCGATTACCTACTTTCCGATAATGGATCGCTTATGCAGTTGGCACCGATAATGATAACTGTCAAGTTTCAAAAATCGACAAACCGAAAGTCTGTTATCGTTAGTGTGTGTCTCTGTCTCAGTGCTTTATTTTTGCGTTCCTTTTTCGCTTGTTTTTTGTTTTTTTAGAAAATTTTCTGTTTTTCATATATAAAAATTAATCATAAAATTTATTAATTTCTTTACAGAAAAAGGCAGCAGCTTCGGCCGCAGCACCGGCAGCGGCTGCAGCTAAACCGGCGGCGCCCGCAGCAGCTCCTGCAGCAGCAGCAGCTAAGCCCGGCGCTGCGCCGGCTGCCAATGGTAAGGCGGCACCCGCTGCTGCCGCTGCACCGGCCGGTCCGCCCAAGGATCCCAACGATCCGAAAGTGAAGGCCGAGGAGGTACACTTGTGTACGTGTACTTGTGTCCACGTTTAGCATTCAGCGTTCATGTCCCATGTCTACGTCTTCATATTTCCGTTACCGTCTTCGAAAGTGTCGAAAAAATGTGTGGCCGGAATGTGCCCGATTGCTGATACCAATTTGAATTTCAGGCTAAGAAGGCAAAACAGGCTGAGATCGAGCGCAAGCGTGCTGAGGTGCGCAAGCGCATGGAGGAAGCCTCCAAGGCCAAGAAGGCCAAGAAGGGTTTCATGACCCCAGAGAGGAAGAAGAAACTCAGGGTAAGTTACCGACTAAAACTAGTTAAATTTTAGATATTATACTAAGAAATATTTAATTCTGATAACAGTTGCTGCTGCGTAAGAAAGCCGCTGAGGAGCTGAAGAAAGAACAGGAACGCAAAGCGGCTGAACGTAGACGCATCATTGAAGAACGTTGCGGCAGTCCCAGGAATCTCAGCGATGCCAGCGAAGGTGAGTTCCTCGGTCCTCGATCGGCTGGATGTCTAAAAATAAAAAAAATACAAAAAAATTATATAACCTCAAAAGAAATCACATCAATCAATAATCAGTCTAGTGTACCAATTGGAGATACCTATTTTTGTTTGTCTCCGATTTGTATGCTAAACTGCCGATAAATATAAATCGATAACTGAAAGTTGAACAAGTGTCATCTATCGCATACATATACATATACACTCACACACATACATACATACATCGCAAAATACACATTAGCACACATACACACACACATGAAGTCATAACCAGGATAATCAACTTCCTTAGCGGATCTACGAAAATAGCGGAAATGCATTTAAAAAACAGGATACAACTGTGTGTTACCAATTTATCTAAATGTGTCTCTACCTCTATCTCTTTTTTTTGCCCATGATTGAAATCCATGAAACCCCAAAACACAAAAACACACACTCTCCACTGTCCACAACGCAATTCCAACACACCAACACTCCGATACACGAACCCAATTCCAACAACCCAACCATCCACCAACATCCATCCAATATCCAAACCAAACCAAACCATTTGTGAAACAGACACACTCAAAACTCTGATCAAGCAACACTATGACAGGATTTGTAAATTGGAGGACCAGAAATATGATCTTGAGTATGTTGTTAAACGCAAGGATGTTGAGGTACACGAACACTCTACTATAATACCAAATATAATGCCTAATTCTATATATCTATCCTCGATCAAAATCAAAAGTTAACGCTTAACATCAACAACTACTCGTACACCTTCTGTTAGCTATCTCTCTATCTAAATATTTATATATCTCTAAGCACTATCTCTCTCGCACACTCTTACTCTTATATATATCAATGTTCGTGAAAAGTCAATATATATATATATATTTTGCACTAAAACTGTACAGAAAGCAATAGCCTACATACTCACCCGATTAATGCAGGTGGTCTCTCTTTTGAGGTTAGGATTAAAAATGGATAGATCAGAAAAATAAATAAAACAATACATTTTCCCACAACAACACACAGCCAGTACACACAACCAGTACACCCACCCCACAAGACACACACACAACAAAATAAAAAAAAAAATTAATTAAAAAAAAAAACCACAAACACCAAAAACATGTAGATCGAACCCTTTGATAACCACACTTCGTTCCAACAGATACAATTCAGAAAGCTTGTCAGGACTACCACAGTAAGATTCTTAAACTGGAGTCTGAAAAGTACGATCTCGAACACGAGGTAGCCAGAAAGGACTTTGAGGCAAGCAGATAGTTTTTCAATCTCAATCAATCTCTCTTTCTCTATTTCTATCGCCGATCGTAGAACTTGTCGATAATATATACCAGTTACTAGTATAATATTTTAGTAGCCGAGGCAGCAGCACCATCAGCCCAAAAAACAAAAATATATACAAATATTTTCGAGCTGCACACCATCTTCTTCAAATTACCAATACGTGTGTGTGGGTGTTGTCTAAATGTCCGGAGAATTAGTAGTACAAACCGTAGTGTTAACCCAAAAATTTATTCTTTTTTTGTAAATTGGTTCGGAAGAGAGCTTTTTCCAAAACGAGGCCCAAGAAACCGAAAAAAAGGAATTGCACTTCTCAACCAGAGTATATACCATATATAGAAAGTAGAGTCCTATTCGAGGCAGCTAACTAATTTAGTATAAGGCTTCCAGATCGTAATCTGTAAACCCAAATAGATATGGATCGAAAATAACATCGCTGCTTTGAAATACTAATACCCCAAAAGTCGATAGCAACAAATGCTGATGATACCTATTTTTGAAATCACTGTATTTGTGCGTTTTTTTGCTTTTTGCGGCTTTAGCTATAAGCTTTTTGTGTCTACAAGTTTTTTTGGCTTATTTTGTGTCTTGTAGCTGAATCACATAAACTATTTTTGTATTTTTGTGATTTTACTTACTAACACCGAAAAAAAAAAATGAAAAGAAATCGAAACGAAGCTGTTAGATCGGGGGTTTCTAGATTGTGACCAGAAATTAGGAGATACAGTCACCACAAAAGTACAATCAGCACCAAAACTACTATACAACACTGAAACTTTTACAAAATCACAACTCATGTGGCACAACAACTCAAGAAACAAGCAAACAAATAAACACAACATTTGTAGGTGATAAAGATCGAGTTCAATCTATAACTTTATATTAATGATATCTTAATCTAATCCTTCTTTTTTTTCGAAAAAAAAACGCGACAACCACACAAAAAATCAAAATCAAACAAACAAACAAAAACCAAATTTAAATCAAAAACGATACCAACGTCGTCTATCTCTATCTCTATCTGTATCACAAATCAATCTATCTATATCCATTTCTATACTTTTACCTCTATCTGTCTCTGTCTTTACACTACTCTTTCTCTCTCTCTCTCTCTATCTCTCACTTTCTCTTCTATCTTCCCCAAAAAAAAAAACCCCTTCTATCCAAATCTTTTACTCTATATATCTTTCTTTGATCCGTACTCTCATTTACACAAAATACAAAAACCCAAAAACATCAAATACAATCGTACACGAAAACAAATGTTTTTTTCTAAATAACGTGATCGTTACGTAACATCGTAACATAACGTTAACGCCACTATTACCGTTACCGATACCGATACCGCTACCGCTACGTTACCGTTACCGTTTACCGCAGCCGAACTGCAAACAATATGCAAACAATATTGGCAACGCGTTTACAATTTGGAGGGCGATAAGTTTGATTTAGAACACGTGCAGAAAGTCAAGGCCCAAGAGGTAAATTCCCCAAAAGATTTACAAACTTTTGCCATGCACCCAAAAAAAAAAAACTACAAAAAAAAAAAAAAACCAAAATCGAATGTTTTTTTCTTATTTTCTTATCAAGCCAAAAAAAAAACCAAAAAAAAAAAATTATAAGATATTTTACATATATATAAATCGAATATTAATCATAACTTTAATTTACAATTATGCCCTTGGTATTTAATTAATTGATTTCATTTCTAAATATTTCCTAATCATATTTTTAGTTTTTTACTGCGATAATTATTTTCTTTTACCTAATTTTTGATATTGTTTTTTAACTGCGCTAAACAACAGAAACCGAAAATCAGAGAATATATATAATTTTTTCGCATTGGCGCGTGCTTCAAACTATGAGCAAAAAAAAAATACAATTAATGGAGGGGCATTAGTTCCTATACCGCCCGTGTACATAATAAATATTCGTCCGGTAACATGGAACTATAGCCCCCCCGAAAAATGCCCCCACAAAATAAAATTATTCGGCATGCCGAAGTCGAAGCTTTTTAGGAAATATCTGATTAAAATTACAACGATTAATTGTCTTCTAAAACTTAACCCGAATAATATATAGCGTAAAGTGCCAATAACGTAAACCGTAACGATTGCTTCCGTTTCCGTTTCTGTTCCGTGGTGTACCATTCCGTTTCGTTCCGATTTGTTCCGTTTGAAGAATTGCCAAAAAAAAGAAAAGACAGAAGATTGAAAAACTCATCGAACACATAACATCTAATGAAGCTGCGAAAACAACAAAATGCAAAACGATATAATATCAGTAATCATTATGCGATAAACCAAAAGAAAACTCTATAAACAGTAAATGCAATCATAACTTTAGTCATACCTAGATTTAGAACTTTTACCAATCAATCGTCGAACTTTCAACAATAAAAACAATTGATAATCAAAAAAAAAAAACTTAAAACTGAAAACAAATATCAAATACCAAATCCCAAACAATAAAATGTTTTTGCAGGCGAATTGCAAGAGATTTGCGAAGAGTATTACGAGCGTATGTATATTTGTGAAGGCCAGAAATGGGATCTGGAATACGAAGTCAGGAAAAAAGACTGGGAGGTACTGCAACAATTTCAATTTAAATTTCAAATCGTTCTCAATATATATCAAATTATCAATCAATGTCAAAAAACTCTGAATACAAAAGAACAAAGCAATCAAAAAAAAAAAAAAATCAAAAATCAAATTCAACAACTCACCTAAGATAGAATGCAACATGCAACTAAATTTAATTCAATTCTAAAACATTAAAAAAATATAATCTGAATCTGAATCTGAAGTATTCATTTGAGTTCTAGTATATCATGTTCGTTTCCGTTCAATTCCGTTTAGTTTCGTTGTTTCTTTCTTAATTGTTGAATGCGCATCATATTGAACAAATATCTGTTTTACATGACTTTCTCACACCTGTGCCCCGATCTATATATATATACAGAAATATATATGTGGGTGTGGGTGGGTGTGTGACACACAATCGTGACTATTTACAATTCGTACTACTCCTTGTTTGATTTCTATTTCGATTGTTACTCACGTTTAACTAAAATTAAAAAAAAAAACTCAAGACGGAAACACGAATAATCAGCAAGGATTGCCATTCAACCGTTATTCGATTCATTATCGACTCCACCCCAGTGTGACCAGATGCCGTGTCAGTGTGAGGTTATGTCCGAACATATAGAGAGAGGTTAAGTCTTCTCCACAAAACCATATTGCACATGCACCAACTTACTGGCCTGGCACTCGTTTTTTTTCTGTCTCTATTTTTTATTAAAAAAATTCAATTTCAATCAACTGGCAATCCAACACATACACCCCCAGAAACAACAACAATAAACAGCAACGTAGAATTTAGTAGTTTGCACAACAACAACAACAACAACAATTACAACTACAACAACAGCAAGATAACTAGTTTGTTGCACCATTTGTGAACTTTGTTTTGTGTGTGTTTAATTTTCTATTTTCTATTTTTTTTTTCTTAACTGTAACCAAAATATTTGTTTGTGCCGCTGTCGACGCGTTGTAGCCATTTTATTGAAAAACTGCACCTAAAGTCTGTGCGTCCGCTCTACAAATAAGAACAAACAGCCACAGCCACACATAACTACAATTGCAAGCAATATAATCACAAAAATACACAATAATAGCACTACTCTACAAGCACCCGAAAATAAAAAGTACAGTCATGCCCAAAAAAGACACGCAAGCGCACGCACACACGCGAAATTGCATGCAGCAGTAAAAAAGATAAATAGATGAAAAAAAAAAAATTCAATTACGAACAATACCGATACCGATATCCCGACCAGCCAGCCACGCCCCCAAATGTCCATCCACGCCCATGCCCAGCACCATACACCCATCACACTTCATTGTAAATAATGTTTTGTGTAAATTGTTCTCATTACCGCTCACACTCTGTCTATCTCTGTCTCTGTATGTCTCTCTCTCTCTCTCTTTCTCTTTCTGTCTGTCAAATTCTTTTGTTTTCTGCATTTCTATAATTCTTCGCCAAATGATAAAAGCCAAGTCCAAAGTTGAAGAGCATAAAAGCCAAGCGTCGATTACTTCTCGATTGAATCACTTAATGCTAGACCCACTAAACGTGATTTACCGATTACCGATTACCGATTACCGTTTTACCGTTACACGAACCCGCATCGTAACTGCGTGCGCAGCCGAACAAACAAATCTAAAGAAATAGAAACAACAAACCAAAGAAAAAAGCAACACAAAACAAAATAATAAAGGGAGCAAGCAAAGCTAAAGCATAAGCGCAGAGGAGACCTTTCGATCAGAATACCGTTAAGCAGTACCTCAAGCCCAGTCGTCTCAGTTTCAGTTCTATGTTCTTTGTTTCAACTTCCGTTCCATTTCCATTATTCCAGTTGCAGGCAGGCCAACGTCGCTCGATCTGTCTCTCTCTCTCTCTCACTCAACAATGACTATCTGTCTATCTCTCTCGTCTCTCTCCAACTCTCTTTTTTTGTGTATCTCTGTCTAGTGTATATATGTATAAACGATTAAATATTCTTTATAAAACTACAAATAAAGCATTAAAGCAAAAGAAATCGACATTTGGATGTTATGCTGTTCAATCAACGAGAAAGAAAAGCCAAAGCAAACCAACCAATCACCGCCACTGTCCCCGTCTCGCCCCGTCACTAGGCAAAAAAAAAATAGAAATAAAAATAAATATTAAAATTTAAAAAAATATATTAAAAAAAAACGTATAGGCTCGTATGGCTGGCCCGCTCGCTCGCTTGCTCTCTTGCTCGCACTCACTCCCACCAGCACGCTTGGCATTAGCATAAGTCGTAGTGCTAGAATCGGTAGTGTATGATCCTTAAAAATACGTAATATGTCTGCATCCCGACTCGTTTCCAAGCATGCTTTTGCCCCGTGAGTCCATGAATTCTTCTTGCAGCATTTTTGATTTTGATAGTAGCCGTAGCATTACATGTCGATAGACCAATTCGATAACAATCGATTATCCTTTATTAACTGGTATACCTTTCTCTTCCCAACTCTCTGCTTTCTGTGCCAATGGAATACAGATCAACGATCTCAATGCCCAAGTTAACGATCTTCGCGGCAAGTTGTAAGTATCTCAAAATATATATAGATGATGATATATCGATTATTAATCGATTGTTATTTGTTTAACAGCGTCAAGCCAGCCCTGAAGAAGGTCTCCAAATACGAAAACAAATTCGCCAAGCTGCAGAAGAAGGCCGCTGAGTTCAACTTCCGCAACCAGCTCAAGGTGGTGAAGAAGAAGGAGTTCACGCTGGAGGAGGAGGAGAAGGAGGTAAGTGGATGGGATGCCAATGGAGAATAATATCTCTTCATATCTATCTATATATCTGCGACTATGATCAATACATTTATCTTTATATATCTTTAGAAAAAGATAAAAGATGCCGCTGTGCTAAAGCAAGCCAAAAAGTGTAAGAAAACTAGTGTGTGTGTGTGCGTGTATCCTGTTTACCAGATCCTCCTGTTTTGAGCACCTGTCAGTGCACCTGTCTATGTCGCACACTGATCTATATATCTATCTCTCTTTCTATGTCTGTCTCTTTCTCAACTCGTAGCTATCTGTAGTTGTAGTCTGAATCAATGGGATGTGTTCGAAATCATTTGCGAAAACGATTTTAGAATCTTAGAAAAACATTCATACAATTTTTTGATGCACACAACACTATTTATGTAAATGTAGATCACAATGTAGTCTTTGATCCAGATATGTTATTTGTGAACTGATTGATTTTTGCAATTTCCATTACTAATTCCGATATATTTTCTTATCTATTCCATCATGATCGTAATCTGGATGAGCAGAAGAAACCCGACTGGTCCAAGGGCAAGCCCGGTGATGCCAAGGTGAAGGAGGAGGTTGAGGCCGAAGCTTAAGTGTCCACACGTCCACTAGTGTCCACTGACCCGTGACTCCCGCCCTAAACAATAATTGAAATTATTTACAATACAACAATTATCTGAAGCAATACCAATTTATATAAATCTATTTAAATATATATCTACAAATAATATATATATTTGTATGCATGTATATATCTCGTCATATATATGTGTGTCACTATGGATTTGAACAGATTGAAGTCAATAAACAGCAACAACAGCAACTGAACAACTAAATCAACTCGAAATCAAAATCAAATACTCAGACTCAGACTCAAACTCAAAACTCAACTGCTACAGAAATAATTCAGATCAACGATTCAAAACAACAGCCAAACATCTGAACACCTTGATGAATTATTGATTATATTTCATTATTTACAAATTATATTTTTTAATGTAAATTAAATTAAATTACAAAAAAAAGAAACAGACAGCGTCTCATACAATCTTTTCTCAGCTATAATACTTTCATGAATCATTCGCTTTTCCAACCACAAAATACACCAATGGGGGGGGGGGTTTAGTAATTTTTCAAAAAAAAAAAGGGACGCATATTCATAGTTCTGATAATATCTGATATACGATCAGGATATTGTGCAGTATTCTGTGCTCAGAGCTTAGAGTACAGGTTTAAACTAATGATAATTTTGAACAATAGTCCTTATTCAAACAAAATCGAACAAACGGCCTTCGAATTTTTGTATTTGTTGAAAATAAAATGGGCATAATTTAAAAATAGGAAATCGTAAGTGATCATCGTCAAAAATGTGGTTAATCTAAATAACGGTTCCCTTATGCAAATTATTGCTTAAATGTGGTTTTTTAATTTTACGAATTCTTAAAAGGGTATCCCCATTAAAAGTGTGGCTATTCCGAATTTCCCTTTTCCCACCTCCGATGGCCATAGCTCTGCCAATTCTTACCCGATCAGGAAATAATGTACCATTTAGTAATCAGCGAACTCAGAAGCGACTTTCCTTATTCAAAGGATATCCAAAAAGTCGTTTTAAAATTTTTCGAATTTTTTCCTAGGGGTACCAGTGTAAAACTGTGGGTTTTCCGGATTTCCCCACTTTTGCTCATTCCGATGGCCATATCTCTACCAATTTATATCCGATCAGGAAATAAAGTACCATTTAGTAATCAGCGAACTCAGAAGCGACTTTCCTTATTCAAAGGATATCCAAAAAGTCGTTTTAAAATTTTTCGAATTTTTTCCTAGGGGTACCATCACAAGTCTGTGGGTTTTCCGGATTTCCGCACTTTTGCTCCATCCGATGGCCATAGCTCTGCCAATTCGTACCCGATCAGGAAATTAAGTACCATTTAGTAATCAGCGAACTCAGAAGCGACTTTCCTCATTCAAAGGATTTCCAAAAAGTCGATTAAAATTTTTCGAACTTTTTCCTAGGGGTACCAGTGTAAAACTGTGGGTTTTCCGGATTTCCGCACTTTTGCTCCATCCGATGCCCATAGCTCAGCCAATTCTTACCCGATCAGGAAATAAAGTACCATTTAGTAATCAGCGAACTCAGAAGCGCCTTTCCTCATTCAAAGGATTTTCAAAAAGTCGTTATTTAATTTTTCGAATTTTTTCCTAGGGTTTCCTTCCACCTAAAAATGGAGGGCTTTCGCAATTTCCCCACTTTGGTTCCTTCCGATGGCTATAGCTCTGCTAATATGTGCCCGATCGGAAAATAAATTCCCATTTAGTAATCAGAGAACTCAGAAGCGTCTTTCCTCATTCAAAAGATTTCTTAATTTTTGTTTAATTTTTAATTTGCAAATTTTTCCCCAGGGATACCACCACAAAATGGTGGGTTTCGCAAATTCCCCACATTTGCTCCTTCCGAGTGGTCATCGTGCTGCCGATTGCAGTCCGATCAGAAAATAACCTGCCATTTTGTGACAATCGAACCACGTGCCAAAAGTGAAAAACTAATTTTCGTTCTCCGGATACATGCAATTCACAATTTATTTTTATTAAGTTTTTGCTTAAAAATGCTAGTGTACGAGCACAATGATGACTTCACACAAATTACTTTTATCTTAAAAAAGTGCAAACATTCAAATGTATATACAATTGTGCATATATTCCACGTTTATAAGCTACTCTTGGTTATTTCCAAGGTAGACGGAGTGGTGGTTTTCGGCAAATGACTTCTACTCGGAGGTGCTCCTATTGGCTTGGAACGCTTCGGCAGAGTTGCGGCACGCAAATAAGGATTGTCTATGTTCGGATTTTCTAAGATTGCTTTATTGGTAGTAGAGTTCGGCTTGATTTCTATTTCGTTCTTGTCTTCCTTGGACTTATCTCCGTCGTGATCTTCGTTTTCGCTGTCACCCTCCTCGCCGTCTTCTTTGCTGGGCACATCTTCTGTTCGATTGGCAACCAGGTAATGATATTCCAGCTCCTCAAAATCAAAGACCTGATCAGTGGGGTTCAAGGCGGCAGCATAGGGCGGAAAAGCGGGCTTACATGCAATTACTAGAAATTAACATAAATATTAACATAACGTTTATTCAAGAAAAAAAAAACACGGCTGCACGTACGCGGAAACATGTTGTCTTCGGTGGGAAACAGGTTATTTGTTTCTGACGTTTTACAGAGGAATTTCGTTAGGGCTTTTTCGATATCCCTTTTTTGACAGGCGGCCTTTTCCCGAATGGCCTCGTACTCTGTCACCGGTTGCTTGTGCGTGGGCGTCCGTATATAGGCGTGAGGGTCCGGCATGGGTGGAAAGTAGCTGGGTACGTAATGGGGGTGCGCGGATTTAGTACCGGCCTGGAGGAGACTTAGTTGTCGCTGTTGCGTCTGTTGGGGCGGTAGGGGAATAGGTGCGTGCTTTTCATTTCGCATATAGGGGTCCAGGCTGCTAATGGAAATGCCCATATTTATCAGAGCCAGGCTAACATCACCCACAGTGGGCATGGTGCGTCCACTTAGCTCACAAAAGTTGTGCGCCGAGTTGCCAATCTCCAGAATGACTGTAATGAATTGCATAAAATTATTATTATTGTTTTCTGAACAATAATAATAATTACTTACGCGCTTGGAGCATCTGGGTGAGCGTCTCCAAGCACTGTTGACTGGCCTGCCCGGCTCCTTTGTCCACCAGCAGCTGCGAAATGACCTTATTCAAAAGTTTCCTGTACGCATCTACTTGCGGCACAGTGACCGTCTCTACCTTATCCATTTTTGTTGATATTTACGTTTTTTTTTTTTTTATGGCCGTATGTTTTTGAAATTTTTAGAGACGGTTGGATGAGTGTTGGCTAGAGCTGGCCCAACACTGAAGCGAGGGTGGTTGCGTTTGCCTTATCAACTGTACACTGTTATCGATATATCTATCGATTGCATGCTATTGACGTTACTCCGCCTCCAACGTTTTGTTATTGTTGTTACCAAAACAATAGATTTAAAACGAACTAAAAAAGCGGTGGGGTATCTGATTGTCCGATTAGATGCAGTTAAAAAGCGGCCCGGTCAGCAGAGAGCCCGTCAACCGGCCGCAGAATTGAAATTAAAGTGAACTTCGTGGTGCCAGGGAGTCCATAAGAGGTCCCCCCCCCCAAAGCAATTGGATCGCATCGGTTCTATTGGGAGTTATTAATTTCTACCAAGTACGTGTGTGTATATATTCGGGTTTGGGTGTGTGTGTGTGTGTGTGTGTGCGGATGCTGTGCGTCCACTGACGCATTGGCCTTTCATCATTTCCATTTAATTTGCACTTTTAATTGAAAATGTTTTGACCAAATGGGCCAACCAGTCCCAGTCCCTATCGACTTTCCCTCCAGGGCACAGTGAACTCCAACGAAAACCGAAGAGCTATTTCTGAACGGCTTTTATTTTCGGTTTTCTATTTATAAGCTCCAAGTGCTCCACTTTATTTATCGTCCATTAGCCACTCCACCAGAATATGTAACGTGAGTGCGTGTCTGTATAGACAACCGCCCTCCCCGCCCCAGTTCTTGGCTTCTTTGTCTTTCTTTGGAGCCCGCCAAACTCTTTCATGGAGGAAACCTTAGAGGATTGATTCTTTGTCTGGCTTTGGGTTCTCTTTCCAGGTTTGTTATTAAACATTTTCCGGTATTTCCACATGATGACTCAGTGGCTGGCTGGCTGGGAGTACTTTATAATATCTTATCGGTGGGGGGAATTAAATAAACAAAAAATATATATAGGGGCCATTGACAATTGGGGAAATGAAAAATGTGCATAGTTGTGTAAAGAAAGTGTTTTTACCCACTCGCTCATTGGTGGGCATTCTTCGAGATTGTTACGAAAACACGTAGTATATATATGTGCCCGAAGTGAAACTCGGACCTGGCCCTGGCGGAGCGACCTACAAAAGAATGCCATGCCATGCCATGAGACACACACGAAAAAAAAAAACCCAGGCCAAGATTATGAATCACTACCGTGTGGGGGGAACACGGGGGAAAAAACACAAACAGAAGCTATAAACCCCGAGATGTTACCGACTTGTTTACCCTCCAAAGTGCCCATGTGGATGGTTTATACTATAATTTCAAAATAAATAGTAATAGAACCTAATCCGATTCCAAAAAAGAATGAATCTTTGATAAGACTTTGCTCCAAGATAAATATTTCCTTTTTCTGACAAAAAAGTAACCCTTTTGTTTCCCTTTCCAGCCGGCTGAAGCTCTCTGAAAGCATAGGATGAACAAAGTGAGCAAACACATCCAGAGCGGAATATCGTCTATGGGCGGCAGTGGTGGCCTCAACTCTTCGGCTCTGTTGGGATCACCGCTAGACATGGATGCCAACGGAGCTGGCTCTGCCACCAGCAACACCAATGTCTTCAATTCCATCATGAGCTTCCTGCCTGACAATCGTCCCATAACATCGCTTCATATTGTCGAGGATTTCGAACGGTATTTATTAATTAATTTTTTAATATTTAAAGATAATTAATAAAGCATTTCTCTTCTTAAGTTGCCCAAAAAACTTTAGTGCCATTCACCGCACCTATGACCAGGATTCGGATGCTGATCTGTGGCGGGATTATAGCCTCTTTGGTCGCCAGAATACGCGCTACTTGTGCTTGTCCAAGTCCGAAGGCTTGCCGGAATATGTCGTTGAAACTTTACAGTAGGTTTTTTTGCATTTTTAAGGATTTCCTTTTATAATTCATGTAATTTTTATAATTTTAGAGTCATTGCCGAGAAGACTCAGCCGCCCAAGGAGTTCTCGCTACTGTCCCGCACGGCGGATAGCGACCAGAAGGCCTGGCGCAAGCGACAGATCGCCTACAAGCTGTCCAAGCGGGGCACCGTCACCCAGGCCGTGACCGACATCATTCTCTGCTCGAAGCTAAAGGTGGCACCCGACGGATTTAGGCTAGCAGGCGACATAAACGGTGTACTCATCTGCTACAAGACGGGCGCCATACCGGTGCGTATGCCGCCGCCACTGCCAGCGGCCAATGGAGCAGCCGCAACCTGTGAGGTGGAGCAGGCACTGAACAGGCTGAACTTGCAGGGACAGCGCAACTCAAGGGGACCGGTTAGTCCTTATAGTTCATAATATTATTAAATATTAAATGGCAAATATTTTTGGTAGCTCCCACAGCCACCGACTGAGCATCACGACTATGAAGAGATTAAGGCAAACTATCAAATAAATTCGCCACAAAGACCGGCACCACCTCGGCCCGCGGCGGCAGCAGCAACAGCATCTGGAGGCAAGGCTACTTACGGCGGCACCGGAACTCTGGGCACCTACACGGAACTGGAGGGTGTACCCTTTGTGATGGACGTTAGGTTGCAGCGCAACCCAACCGCAACAGAGGTATGGAAGCTGCGATTTCATTCTTGCCCAGCCATCTCTTTCTTATTCGAGGCATATTTTTTTGTTTGGAATTATGTAGATACCCACACTGCCAGAAATCTCAACGATACTTAAGAACCTGGACTATGACTTTCAGCTGGAACGTCAGATATTGTGCACCATGAAGTCATCGGCATCGAAGAACCCGTTCTTCAAGTAGAGAAGAAGCATCACTGAAAAAATAATGGAAATATTAAGCAATCCCCACTAGAGGAGCGGAGAAGCTCCTTTATGTTATGTTTAGTTTAGAGTAAGCTCGATCGGATCAGGTCCGAGGAACCAGTAGCACCCAGTAGTTATTCAGTTTGAGTTCAGTTCTCTCTCTCTAATGTGTGTAATATTCCTGTGCCTTCGATATATATAATAGTACATATATCTCATTTTCATTATCCCCCAACCCAATCCCAACCCATTATCGGCATAAATTCTAGATTTAAACCGCAAATTGTGATCAACTGAGCGAGCTATACATATGATTTATTTTCGTTATAAAAAATTCGAGAGAAGCCCACGCATAAGATATATACATATATATATATATAATCGATAAATCCCCAATTACCTACCTACCTACATATATACCCATCTAGCAGCCTAGCACCTCAAGTCTCAAGTTTTAATGTTAAATGTTGATGAAAGTCTAGAAAGCAGATGATTGGCAGGCAAACAGATCGAAAGCTAATAGTTTATATATATACATACCACCTAGGAGTTACACACCCACATATATATCAGATATAGATATACCTTTAGCACCCGATAACCAGTTGGTTTTTAAACAAATATACATACGGTATGGTATGGTAGATCTAGTGACGTTTTAGAGACTGTATTGTGAAATCATAGATTCTTCCCCCCAACACCCCCCCAAGTCCTCCAGCCCTTAGCCCCAGCAGTTCAAATAAATAAAATTTATATATACAAGCCCATGGATATATAGTTAGTCATGGTTTTAATATTAAGATCTAATACTAGTATTACAATTACGAAAAAAAAATGGAAGAAATATCTTTTTCCCTGCATAAGTCATTCAATATGTGGACTTCCTGAATATCCATCCTCCCGGTTCAGAATAAATTATGAAAGAGATCCGGCTGGGAGAGCGTCTTCTTCAAATTCCGGACACTCAAGCGACGATGTCGGCGATCGGCGGTGTTTCTGTAGATGTATTTGGAGCGTGGAGCGATTGGATGTGGGTAGGGTGCGGGATCGAGTTTCGGGATATTCAGAATATGTTGGCGGTTTAGCAAGTTACTTTAAGACGACCACAATAACACAGAGGCGGGATCGAGGGCGGGGGAAGCAAAGCACCATCACCAATCACCATCATCGGGCTGCTGGGTTGCTTCACTTACTCGAAAATACGGCCATGGTACTCGATCATCAGCTTGACGCAGTCCGCCAGTGTCTCACCCTCGCGCAGCAGCTGCTGGATGTCCTGGAGGTGGGCGCCCTGGGGCACAGTGTGGAATATCGAGGGCGCCACCGAAATGGATAGCGTTTCCGCGCTGATATGTTGGAGCGGCACCTTGGTTAACCTAGTGGGAGGGAGGTGGAAGGTTAAGAAGGATTCTCTCTCCTCTCGAAGGGATGTAGTCTTACCTATTAAAGTGCCCAAAGATATAGTCCATGGTGTCCCGATTGGACTCGGGCAGGGAGCGGATCAGTCTCTTCAGGGAGTCCAGCTTCACGTAGAGATCAACGAGCACTGCAATGGAAGACTATGTATGTAGTTATCATCTCTCGGAATACCATATATGCACTTACACCACTGATTGGGCAATCCGATGAAGGTCTTGGCCTCGTTGACGCTCACTAGCGGACTCTTGATCTCGCGCAGGAACAGCTTGAGCACTCCGGTCAGCGTATGGATATCCACATCCGGCTGACGCAGTGCATCGTAGTCGTTGGCGTCGATATCGAAGCGCAGGGTCTGGATCTTGTTGTAGTCGCCGCACTGGCGGTAAATGCCCTCAATGGGCTGCGTGGAGCGTCGGTACTTGTTCTCGATGAGATCACAGCAATCCACCACAATCCGGGGCACTGTCCGATGCACGTCGTGCTTCAGCACCAGCTCCAGTTCCGTGTCGAAGCACGGCTCATCGAAGAAGATGCGCTTCTCGCGGAGCGTCTCCACGCTGGGCCTGCTCTTGAACCAGTTGGTCAGATTCATCCAGGCAGCCAGCCGGGAGGGTCTTACGTTGGGACTGCCCGTGCTCCCGTTGCGACCCCGTTTGCCGAGTCCCGAATCCTGCCGATGGCCTCCACTGCCAGCGCCGGCTGCGGATCGCTGTTTCTCCCGCTGCTCTCTCTCCTTCTCCCTCTCGTGCATCAGCTCCTCCAGCTGGCGACTCATCTCGCCAACTTTCGCCTCCAACTCCTGGCTGTAGGAGGTCTGCGCCAACAGATCCTGCTCCATGGTGTGCATCCTTTGTTTGAGGTCACTCCAGCGCTTGGAGCAGGTGCTGCAGCATTCCTTGGCGGCGTTGCGATCCCTGGCCTTGGGTCTGCTGCCCGCCGGACTGCCCGTGGAACTGGAGTTCGAGGAGCACACATCCAGGCTGGTGTTGGACACCATTAGGGTCGTGTTGGTGCCCTCATCGATGAAGAGTCTGGTGAGATCCTTGGTACTGCTGCTCTTGAGCAGGGCCAGCTTATTGGGTTTGGATTTCAGTTCGCGCAGCAGGACCACCGCCTCCGGCCGTCCAGAGTCGCCGGTGGCCCGATCCAGATGATTGCTGGAGCCACTGGAATTGCTGGCTGTCTCCAGACGGTACAGCGCTCCCGCCGTGACACTGTGGCCGCGCAAATAGCCAGGATGGTGGCTGGCCGAGTTCGACGAGGTCGAGGAACGATCACGAAAGCAATTCATTAGGCTCTTTCCGCCGCCGGGATGACGTCTCTCGTGGGCCACAAATCCCGCTGCACCAATCACTATGTGCGCCGAGTCCGGAGTGCCAGGCGTTACTGGTCGATGCTGGTTAGTCGCCTGCATGGCGAAAAGGTTCTCCTTCTCCTCCTCCTGCTCACTCTCGGTCTCCCGCCTGTTCCAGGGAATTTATTTCGTCTCGGTTCACTACACACTGGTACTTATCGCTTATGGATATTCAGCTCCAGCTCCTCATACTTCCAGTGGCTCGATCCCCACACCCTGCGATGGTGATGGTGGTGGCAAGTGACGTCAGGGCTATGTCGATATCGCCCTTGCTGCACGGAATGTATATAATTAGTTTATGACTATTGGAATTGAATCCCCCCCGATAGCAGTTACAGTGGTCTCTGGCTCATCATCCACTCATCAAAATAATGAAACTCTTCGTTGCGACAAGAAATGGGGAAGTAGGCGTACTACCTACTTCCGGTGATAAGATGCGATGGCTTATCTTAAGGAGTGTTCGTACCACCTTGAAAGTATTGATATAAACTAGTTCCAATTACAATGCTTATGTGCGTCCAAAGGTTCCTAATAACTTAATAGGGTAATCTTCTAGAGATAATCCCACTGTGGCAGCCACCCACCTCTTCCAGAAGCTGCAACTGACCACCACTTCTTGGGCTTCTGTTTCTTGTACTTTCTGTGTCCTCTCCCTCTTGGCTTGGCTTGGCTGCTCCTCTGAATTCCTCCAAACGACGCAGTATCGGGCTCTCGATTGCCTATTCGTAATATACACTGGATAATTCGCAGGCAGCTCCGATTTCAACTGACTGGTCGAGTAGCAAGAATCGGAATACCCGGGCCTGGCAGGGCCGGGACGGGTTGCTTATCGTGCGGGGTTCCACCGCACACCCAACACCACTCAGCTCCGCTCCACTACCGCCCCGATAAGATAAGCGCCAACGCTCTCCGGCAGCGAACCAAACAAATGCCCAACTACAATTATAAAGAAACCGATTATAATGGGAAAAGTGCAGTCGAGAAGTGCACAGCTATAACTATCATACATGTGGTGTGATATATATATATTATATATATATAGTGCATATATCCATATCGCATAGTTTACAGTGACAGTCGGACAATAGCTTCTGCGGGCGGGTCTTGAACTCTTCCAATTTGTGGGTAACTGGAGCATTTCGGAACCTTGACCAGCCGTCTGGAGCTTATCAATGGGGTTGGAGGGCCTGAAAATATGAGACTATTAGTGATGCATCAAAATTGCACAAGGCACTATTAAAACTATCATAGTTTTAAGATCTCTTAGACGCCCTCCACCATGTTATTGTGCTAGAAAGCCTCCAGGAGTAGTAGTTCTTCTATTTTTAAGAGCTTAACAGCTTAATTCCAGATCTACATCCGATTCTCTTGGCAAGATCTATGCTCACCAGATCTAGGTGCCATTAAATCTGACAATAATACCCATTATAAAGCCATTTTTTGAAGCCAAAAGTCACGACCTAAAAATCTAAATGGTTTATTTCTTGTTATTTTGAGGCTTTTGTTAATAACTTCCACCTGATCCTCTGGTATATGGAATTCTTCTTGGGTTCCCCATTTTTTTATGAAAGAAATTCTAGACTTTAAGATTAAAACTCCAAGAATCAACGAAATATCAGATTCAAAACCAAAACAAAGGAGTTTGTTTACCGTTTACCGTTTACGGTAAATAACAGAGTTGTCACTTGCCTTGAAGAGAAATTAGAGAAATGTGCAAAAATAAAACTAATCGACAATAAATACCCTCTAAATATAAAACTTTACTTATTATTACATTTATTTTAAGTTTTCATAAAAAAAACATATTTCCTTTTAGTTTATTTAAATCAAAAACTGATCTTATGGGTAGATCGCTAACTGATACACCCTTGCTACCCTTTAAATATCTCAAAACAAAGAAAAGTGTTGCAAAGCACGAAAATAAACAACAGACAGGCCTCCAAAACTTAAAATGTGAAAAAAAGAGACTTGTTTATTAGGAATTATTACATAATTCAAGACATAACACTTTTCGGCCTAAACACTAGAAAATAAAAGTGATAGATAAATGCAAAATGATCGAGTGATAGCATGGATACAGATCTAGGGCATCATGCGGAGGGCACCATCCAGACGGATGACCTCGCCGTTGAGCAGAGGATTCTCGTAGATGGCCTGCACCAGCTGGGCATATTCGGTCGGCTCGCCCAGGCGCTGGGGGAAGGGAATGGACTTGGCCAGGAAGGTGCGCACCTTCTCGGGCAGAGCTGCCAACATGGGGGTGTTGAACAAGCCGGGCGCAATCGTACAGATACGGATGCCCTGTGTGCTCAGGTCCCGGGCAATGGGCAGAGTCATGCCCACCACTGCCGCCTTGGAGGCGGAGTAGGCAGCCTGACCGATCTGGCCATCGAAGGCAGCCACCGAAGCTGTGTTCACGATCACACCGCGCTGTCCATCCTGGTTGGGCTCGTTGGCGCCCATGAGACCGGCCGACAAGCGAATTACGTTGAAAGTTCCCACAGTGTTGATGTTGATCACACGCTGGAAGTCCTCCAGCTTGTGGGCGACGTTCTTGTTGAAGTTGTAGGTCTTGACAGCGGTGGCTGTGCCGGCACAGTTCACGGTCAGATCCAGGCGTCCGAACTTGTCCTTGGCGGTCTGCACGGCGGCACTGACATCCTTCTCAGAAGTGACGTCCAATGGCACGAAGACGACCTTGTCGCCCAGCTCCTTGGCCACATCGTTGCCCTTGGAAGAGGGAAGATCGGCCAGGACCACGCTGGCGCCCTGCTTGGCCAGGCGCTCGGCGGTGGCGCGACCCAATCCGGAAGCTCCACCGGTAACAAGGGATACTACGTTCTGTACAAAAACAAAAGGATAATTAGGAAGGAGGCTGCACAGGTGAATCAGTGTCCAAATAAGTTTGTGTTGTTGTATAACTTATGGAAAAAAATGATGATGATTGTGGGCGGGTACAAGGTACAGATGACACAGACACAGTATACGGTTATTTATGGCCACCGCAGCACGGGTTCAAATCCGCGGTGGACTTTGAACCCCCGGCTGGTCGACGTGGGGTCGTTGGACTGTATTATCTGCACAAAATCCACCGTAACTAGTTACATTCTCAATTTACCTTAAGCATTTTGTGAGATGGTGTTTTTGGTAAACGGTACTTGGAACAACTAAAGTTAATAACAAAACGGAACCGATCGGCAGGCCCTTAAAACACCGGTTGCTTTAGCTAGTGGTGGGTGAAATTCGATAAATACAAGTGACTAATCGAGCTTTCACTATCGCATAAGTACTATCACTATCGCGTCAGCAAACGTGTCAAACTTCCATCCCTAATACAAAACAAGACGAAATTATACGAAACAATACACAAACAATCACATAGCCTTAATATACATATGCTGTAGGGCGCAAAATGTCTGGTTCAAGCGGCAGAAATAAATTCACTATCCAAATTGCAAAGCTTTTGAACGAGGACGAGCGAAACCAGTTGGGGCTGAGCATTCGTCAGCAAAATGGCATGTGACTTTCCGCAAACGGTATAGAATTTCTAAACAATTTCATTTTTAGGACCCATCATCGGCCAGCAGCCGGCGCAGGATCGTCTTAAGCGCCTCCAAACCAATTTGAAGCGCTTGCAAGACAAAGTCAAACCAAATCAAGTCAGGGAGAGGGAAAAACTGGCTGTGAAACGTGCTACACGCAGTTCTTCCACATCGGAGAAAATATTGACGCCTCCTGCTGAGGTGGAAACTCCAATCCGACGCAGATCCAATTCATCTGGGGCACGACGCTCCCTGGCCGGGCGTTTAACTAACCAGCAGGTACACAAAACTCCAAGGGTATCATCTTTGAGGAATGCCTGGGAAAAGCCAATGGCGTTGCTGGAGGCCAGCAATCGTAATCCCACCGTGAGTGGTGAGTACTTCACCTCTTTCTTGTTGTCTTCTATATACATAGCTTAAAATATGTTATTTCTTTAGCCAACCAGCGTCTATCGCGTTTGACGGCCAGCTTGCAGCAGAAACAAAAGGAGCAAAAGGTCAAGCTGGAAATGAACAACAACCATGTGCCTAATCCAGTGCTGGAACCTGGAATCTTTGATTGCTCAGTAAGCGAGCCAGATGAACCCGAGCCCATGGACTGGGAGGAATCGATGGAAGATCAATCAGAGGCTAACGAGATACTGCTTGTGCGCCAGGCCACCGATGATGAGGAGCTGCCTCCCCGCCGTCTGGATCACATGTACTTTGTGCTCGACACCAATGTGTTGATGCACAATATCAAGTTCGTTGAGAGTTTGGTTAAGGTCGTGCTGCCAGGAACGGTGGGAAGCATGATCTACATTCCGTACATCGTCATCAAGGAACTGGACAAGTTGAAGGCCAAGAATGGCGACGAGAACACCAAGCGCCAACTAGCCATTAGAGCTATTCGTTACCTAAACACCCAGTTCGACGAGACTCTGGACATTCAGGGTGGGTTTCATGTCCCTAGATTTAAAGATTTGTATTAATTTCGCATATATATATTTCACAGCACAATCGGCTGTGGATGCTGCAGAACACCTGATCGATGTCGACTGCCCGGACGACAGTATTGTCAACTGCTGCCTGCAGCTGAAGAATGAAGTTCCGCACATGATGCTCCTGACCAACGACTCCAATCTCCGTCTCAAGGGTAAAGCCAACAACATTGAAGTTTCCTGCCGCTCTGATCTCATGGCCCAATACCAGAACGAGTTCGCAGCCGTCTCCGGCTAGCACTCGCCTGCGACTAGTCCCTGAATCCCATTAATTGATAGACTTCGTTTGTGATATAGGATTCCGGTTAGAGTTCTCCACGGGGCTTGGAATCCTACTAGTCGGGCCATTGTACCGCTGTGCACACAAAGTACAATAAATAATTTAATAAAAAAAATACACATCACATACATTAAGTTAGCCACCCAAGATGTTCAGCTGAGATTTTGCGTACTTTTAAGTATTCAAGTTTACAATAAACTTTCATATAAACTGCCCTTTTTTTTCGAATGTTTGGATTGAGATTAATCCGGAAGATCGGGCCCCCGCCTATTATTTGGATTTAATTAAGTTCTTATCAGGGCGAGGGTGTGGATAAACAAGATCACTTCCGTTGCGAGGCCACTTGGCAGGTGCCGGTGGCGTTCTCCGGTTCAAAGATAGCCCAACGTTGGCCCAGTGCAGTGTTCCTCCTTATCCTTATCCGGCGGATTGTTTGAATTCTTTTCGAGGTATGCGGACAACTTTATTGCCTTGCGATAACTTAAGCTATACAAAGTGCGAGTTTGTATTTAATTTGGGTAAATTTTTTTTGTATTTAAGGTTTTCAAGAAATAAAAAATAAGAAAAAAAACTAATAATGAGTGCGGAAAGTAATCTCTACAGGCAGTAGGTTTGTTGGCTTAAGTTTAATTTTTACAGGAAGGTTTTATTCTTAATTGTTTCTTTTTTTTTTTTTTGAGATACATATACATACAGTTTTTAGTTTCAGTTTAAAAATATCAAATAAAAATAAATGAAAATATGACTTTATTCTTAACTACTTTTTTTTTTTGTAGAAAATGTACATTTTTTTTAAGGTTTTTAAAAGAAAAACATAATACGAGATATTTAAAGAAAAAAAAAAACACTTTCAACTTAAGTATATAACTTCATACTAATATTATAGTAAAGATTTCAATAGAGAAACCTTCATCTTTTCGACTTAAAAATAAAATGAAATAAAAAATATCAAACCTTTTTTTTGTAAAAATAAAAGTTAAGACAAATAACAACGAAAAGAAAACCTTTCAAATAAAAAATAAAAAAAAAATTGGATTTCACAGCTATTGGATTTCAAAATGTCCAATGACTACTTTCCGCGCGACTCAGGGGATTCCTTGAAAATCCATTTTTTGGAATCCATTTTTCGTTAATTTACAGTCGATCGTCCTAGAGGATGGAGAGAGATATGAAACGGTAGCCGAGGATCGTTCAGACGCACTGCAATTGCAGTGTGGCATCCCGATCCTGGCTCCTTGCCCGATGCATGGCCATCAGCTGGCACCAGCCCCAGGCCAGGCTCCTGTCCTACATTTTTGAATCGAGAATGCCGGCCGACGAGCTGCCGGCAGTACCACCATTACCACCACCGCCCGACGCTGGCGACAGGTGGATGTTCATCCGCTCCAGCTGGTCGGCCAGCAGGCGTTGTTCGTTGGTCAGGCGCAGGATCTCCTGCTTCTCCTCGATCGTGTGACCCTTGCGCTTGGCCCGATACTGTAGCATTCGTTTGTAGCATTCCAGGATCTCCTGATCCACGGTGTCCAGTTTTCGTTTAATTTCGATTCGTTTTATTTCCTCGCTGGCAGCGGCGCGCAACCTCTTCAGTTCCTCGCTGTTGAACTGGGAAACGCTGCTGATCTCAGCGGTGACTCGTTTGATCTCCATGAGCACTTCGTCCACGTCGTCGTGGGCAGCGAATTCGTTGGCATCGATAAGTCCCGTCTCCAGCAATTCCTTCTTCAAGCGCTGCTCGATCCCGACGCCATGCTTCAGCATGGCCAGTGATCGGAAGTTACCGGATGCGGCAGCAGCTTGGGCGTTGGATGAGGACGAGTGGGTGTTCTCGTTGCTGCTGCTCGTGGTGCTGTTGCTGTGCTCCCCCACAGCCGCCTGTTCGCTGGGCAGCGTCATCAGGGACTCCTCCATCAGCGCCGAGACCAGTCGTTGGGTCAGTGGCCCAGTGATACTCTCCTCCACCATGCCCTCGGCCTTTTTCAGCATTCCGCTGACATTGTTCGACTTGATGCGAGCCCCGCCCGGCTGCAGTGCCTTCATATCCTCCTGGGCCCAGACTGTGGAATAATGCGGCCCGAGTGTGGGAACTGGCGGCACCAGAGGCCCCTTGTACTGCTCCAACAGGTCGTCGATGAGGCGCAGATCCTCGTTGGTTAGTGGCATGCAGTACGGCTCCACGGAGAGCCAAAACTTGTTCGGTGTATCGTTCTTCGGCACTGACATTTTCGGCAATTGAGTTTGCGGCTGGTGGTGCGGCAGGGTCGAGGGGTTTGAGGCGGTGGCGGCGGCTCCGCCAGCAATAGTCGGGAGGTAGTCCATGCTATCGTCCGTGTGCACGGTCATGGGACTGTTTTTGGCCTGATGCTTGGTCGAGGAGGAGCTGGAAACGGCGCCCTGTTGCTTGAGGATCGTCATCGATGAGTGCTTTTTCCTTACACCCGTGGGTTCCTCCCTTTTTCGCTTCGCATTACCCGACGAGGTGCCTCCCGAGGGGCTACCCACTCCCGAGGAGGAATTACCGCCCATACCCAGCAGGCCGTTGAGCATATTGTTGGTGCAGGGTGGAGAACCGGGTATCCGATCAACTTTCCTCCGATCCTGGCGCTTTTCATCCTTGTCCAGGCTGTCGTACTCCGCCTTTAGGACCCTTGCACGTAGTGCCACATTAGAGAGCATCTGCTCCAGCTCCAACTGCACAGCATCGAGATCTTCGGCGGCCAAATGTCCATCAGCTGGTCGCTGCAAGGCTGATGATATTGTGGGCAACAATTTGGGCACATCTTTGGTGCGTATAATGGGTATAACGACACCGCCTGGTGTGGCAAATACATCAACGTCCGATGCAATAGTAGCAGGGGCCGATTTCCCGCCAGATGATCCATTTGTGGGCAGTTTCCCAGCTCCTCCAGACGCCACCGAAATACCAAAGCTGGCAGTACTCCCTGTACCACTGGCAATGCCGCCACCACCGCCGCCAAAGTGGCCCATCTTGAGGTTCTTCACGTTGGCGCTCATCAAATGCCGCTACTGCGCAGGTAATCGGGGCTCCCCTTTACGGTTATTTATCAATAAATTTGTTTATTTTAGCTGGAATCGCAATTTGTTTGCTTCAAGGTTGTGTAGTGTGACCGTTCTAAGCATGCTAAAAAATACTACTGACTGGTCTGCGAAATACCAGAGTCTCTTTGTCATACAGTAAAGATTGGCAAGGAGAAAATATATCTTGAAATATATTGAAATTTTTTTAAATATTGCATATTAAATATTATATGAATTTAATATTCTTTTTAAATAATTAAGAGGGCAGGATGGTTTCCAAGGCTGAAAATAACAAGATTTTTTCGAACTTTTTCCTCCTTTCTGCGTGAATATAATTATTTAAGTTTTACAAGTTTTTGTACACTATAGTTTTGGTTATATTTGGAGAGCATCTAGAATTTTTTTTGTTTAAAAATTTTAGTTAAAAAAACGCGTTTAAAGTTTTGAAAAGAATACTGTCAATTGCTTGAGCATGATAAGAAGATAATCGGTATTTAACCGAGTTTTGGTCCGATCGACATGGAATTTTCACAGGTTAATTCTGATAATGTACTTTAAAATGTAATTATGTTATGTAATTTACTAAATGTACTTTTTATACAAAAAAAATTTTGTTTTAAAGTTTCAATCCATCCTGTCTTCTAAATGGCTTAAAATATTAGCTAATATTTTGTGTAATAAAATATGCACAAATACATGTTTAAAAAGAGTAAATAAAATGGCCAATATTTACTGTACTATAGAGATAATATTTTTTTGTTTCCTTTACAATATATCAGAATTAATTCAAAATCTTAAACTAAATAATTTCAATTTTATTTTTAAAATATAATGATCATAAATCTTAAAATCTTAACAGCAGTACACTCTGTTAAAGGGCCATTTAACATTGTTCTGTAGACACTGTCCAACACTGGATGAAACTGGCGCGTTACAGTGCTCAAAAAGGTTCAAGTGTTTGGTTTCTTTGTTGTTGTTTCGCGTTTGCCCTCGACTGATATTCGTGGTTTTCGTTCGCTCGGCGGCGGTAGCGCGTTTTTTTCGCCTTCCCCGTTTCTCAGTTCTGTGATAAGCCGTGTACTTAACAAATCAGCGATTGTTGACAATCGCTAATGGCCAGTGTTTTAGCCTGAGATGCCAAAATAAGCTTGAATTGCAATAGTAGAGTGCATTGGTGCAGTGTCTTAAATTGTGCAGTGGCCGAGACTGAGGCAGAGGCAGTGCAGTTTGCAGCGCAGCAGCGCATGTACGTATATGTATGTAATTTTATGTAATTGAAAAATAATTTCGCCTTTGCATCCGCTAATCTCGGACTTGGCTTTCGCCTTCAATTGCGACTCGTTTTGATCGTTTGGCTTCAATTCAGAATTCAGAATTTAGAATTCCTCAATTCTCCAATTGGCTGGCTGGGGAAGGCGAGAGACAAACAGAAATCACAAGACGCGTTGCCGCCAGCGCTGCGCTGGCGCTCTGCCTTTAACCCTTTTTTTGGGGCAAAATAAAAATACTCTCAAAAATATAAAAAAAGTTCTTTGTTATCAGAAAGGTGTGTGAAAAAAAAAATAAATAAAAACTTAAGCTTAAGTCTTGTAGTTTTTGTATTTATTTAAAAATATACATACATTTAAGCTCTTTGTCTTTTAAAACAAAGGTTTTTGTTTAAACAAAGTATAGTGGTTTAGTATATTCTCTGTTTACTTTTGCTTTCTTTTTGAAATAAATTCTAAAAATAATTATTTATGTTGGTCAAGGGTTTTTTTTAAATAAATAAATAAATATTAAAAGTTATAAGACTTCATTATTCTTACTAGTTAGTTTATCTTTCTTATTGGAATATAATTATTTATTAACTCATAAATAAAACCCATCAACCCCCTTAAGGGTTAAAGGTCTTGGAGTAACACTCTGGTTTTATTCTCATTTTATTGATCAAATATTTGCGTCTACGTGTGCCGCTTCGATGTCGCGGCGATTATATAGAGCTCTGTGGCTTTATGTGTCAGCTTTTAACTTTTTTTTTTTGTTTTTGTTTTTTGCCTCTCACATGTGTTTTTTATGACCAAACTTACTGTTTCGTTATCAGTGCTTATTAAACTACAGAAGAGAAATCTGTGAACTGATAAGCAGCGATCGAGGCGATAGGACGATGGGACCAGACCTGGAAACATCCCATCGATCAGTATGGAAGTTCCTCTTGATAATCATGATAATCCATTAAGATTTCTATTGTCCGGCCCCAGTCCGGGTCTAATCAATCAGCGTAGCGATCTATATTTAGTCTATATGGTTGACGTTAATTGACCGCCCAGTCGCTGTTCCGCACCCACCCTTTTAAAGAACACTGTGATGTGTGTGTACCCCCTATCCCCCACCCACCCACTGACCCTGTCATCAATTATCGTTCAGGTATTGACCATTCTTTGAATGGGTTTTACACAAAAAACAAAATAAAAAGCTTGGAATACTATAATTTTAGACAGATATGGTGGTTTCTCTTTTTATTGAAAATCGTTTGTTATCGATTTATATCGATTGTTAGCTATAATAAACAATTTATTGATATTTTGAAATGAGGTATTATTTTCTGAGGTATTAAGTCAGTCAGTATTTAGACTGTAGATGTAAGTTGATTAACAAAAATTTATTTATTTATAGAAAATAGTTTGTTATCGATTTAAAACGATTATTTATAAAGGAAAGCTTTTGATGTTTTTCATGAAAAATCATTTTTATTGATTTATATCTATTTTTTGCGATAATAATCAAGTTATTAATCATTTCTTCGGTTATTTTGATAAAAACCCGAATTTTCCCCAAAATGTTAGTAGATTAAGAAAAACTATTCATAGTTATTATTGCAAAATTGTTTATTATCGATTTTTATCAATTTCTAGCGAAAAAGTCGAGATATTGATTATCTTTGAGGTTTTTATCCGTAAAATGTTAAATGATTGAGGAAAACAAGAAGTCAGAAGTCCTAAAGTAGCTTTTTGGGTTTAATTTAATAGGTTTTTTAGGTTCTGTGGAATATTTGTGCTTTTTTACTTAAAAAAAATAGACTAAATTTTAAAAAACTCTATAAAGATCCCTATAGAATAGTTAGAAAAGGCTGGAATTAGAAAAAAAAAACGAAAATGATAACAAATAATATTTTTGTTGGTTCATATCTTTATCTTCGTGTCTGTCAGTGTAATCTCTTTCAATCGAATTCCAACCAAAGCTGTCAATAAATTTTAATAATTCATAGCTATGCACATATTTTTTTCCAAGTGTAGCGGAAGTTTTCCTTGCAAAAAAGAAAAAAATAAATAAATAAATAATAAGAATAAAATTAACCCATGGCAACAACCTGGCGACAACAAATATTTGTGCAATTGATTAAAACCCTCCCTCTAGCATCCTCCATTTTTGTATCTCCAAGTATCCGAGTATCTTTGTATCTCTATATCTCTGTATCTGCTGTATCCACAGAGATGGCGACAGAAATTTTCCAATTTGCTTAACTTGTTATGCGGGCCCCGTTAATGAGATATATCGTACACATTCTGTAAAGAGTCTGCTGTCGGTTGCCACAAACCCCAATAATTGTTATATTACGGCTTTATCAGTTGGGAGTGGGTATACAATCATAAAAAAAGGGTAAACTTATTCGAAAGCGAAGCTAATATACTCTTGGAGGAAAAGTATTATTCGTTTAGGAAGTATTAATATTTTTCAGAAAATAAATCTATACTATCGGTTTTTATCGATGGTTTGAGGAGCTGTCTCTGCAATCTTAATATTCCAGGTAGAACAGGTCTTAATTTTTATTATAGAATGGTTTTAAGCTTCTATTTTATAGGAATAGTAGAAAAATACTCCTATAATATAATATAGTAATATAATATAATTAATATAATTCGAAACTCGAATAAAACTATCCTTTAACTATGTAACTACATATATCGACCTTTATCGATGGTTTAAACTTTAAAGAGCTATCTTTGTAATCATTATCTTTGATAATGAATAATGAATATAGAATCTATCTTAATTTTTTCATATAATAGTTTTAAGCTTCTATTTGATAGGATATAGTAGAAAAATACTCCTATAATATAATTTAATATAATTCGAAACTCGAATAAAACTATCTTTTAACTATGTAACTATATCGACCTTTATCGTGGTTTAAAGATCTATCTTTGTAATCTTTATCTTTGATATAGAATCTATCTTAATTTTTTTATATAAAAGTTTTAAGCTTCTATTTGATAGGATATAGTAGTAAAAAACACCTATTTCTTTAATATAATTCGAGTATATAGAACTATCCAGTAACTATATCGATTTTTATCGATAGTTTAAGGAGCTATCTTTGTTATCTTAACCTTTCAGTGTTCTTCTTTGTATTCTTCTCGTTGAATCTTTGTATTCTTTCCTTTGTCTCTACTTCTATATCTTCTTTCATCTTATTAGATTACACAAATATGATAGATTCTACAAAGACAAAGATAAGCAGCTTGGTTTTCAAAGAACATCGATGATTTGAGGAGCTCTCTTTGTAATCTTAACCTTTTGAGATAGAACCAATCGGAAGATTGTTTTTTTTTCAGGAATACTTTTAAGCTTATATTTTATAAGATGTTATAGAACAATACCCCCTATTCTGTTTCTATATAAAGCCTATTATAATTACTTTAACAAAATCTTATAAATTAAACAAAGCACTAGGGAAATAGGCACCACAACCCTTGTAGGGTAATTTTTCCTCACAAATATCGATAGTTTTAGAAGCCATCTTTGTAGTCCCCACTTTCCAGATGAAACCAATCTTAACTTTCTTACTTTTAGAACCGCTTTTAGAACCTGTTTCTGTTCCTATAAAAGTTGAATCTTAAGAGTTTAAAAAAATACTAAAAATTTTACAAATAGCTAGGAAAATAGACAACAGATCTTTAAAGGTTTATTTTTCCAAAGAAGATACATAGATATTATATCCATAGTCTGAAAATCTATCTTTCTAATCTCAATTTCTTACTTAAAGAAAACTCTTCAAAGACCTCGTTTCTACTTCTCTAAAAACTCATCAACTATTAGCTTATGGATTCTACAAAGCGATGGGATAACCGACACCAGACTCCCATGATAACACCCCGATAGAGTATATCATAGTACCAGAAAACATAAACCCATCACACACCCAAGTAGCTGCTAATTTACGATCTCTATCAGAGCTGAGTATTACGTGGCACTTCCACGATATGATATTACAGCCCCGATTAGAGCGATTAAGGGGCTATATTCGATCCAAAGCACCTGCATTGATTTGATGAGCCATTATCCTCCCATTAGTCTTGATTCATACTTTTGAGATTCGAAGAGGAATACGATACCGAGAGTGGGATCAGAAGCTATAAGATACTTTTGTTTATTTGGTTTCATGAATCACAATTGAGAATGTACGTCATTCTTGATGGTCTGGAGGTCTGGAGGTCTTGGGGAGAGGAAATGCTGATAAAGACAATAAGGGTGTGGGTATGTGGGGTTCGAAACTCCCAAGAGTTTATTTTCTTTCCAACCTTGATCCATTTATTGTTCTGATTTCCGGTCTAAAGCAGCTTTTATTTAAATATTTTCAGTTGCGCTTCAGTGCGGAGTGATCTGGAGTAGATCGGATAGGGGTGTGGAACCAGTAGCTTCTAGCCATGAAGTTCGCCGAGCACCTGTCGGCGCACATAACGCCCGAATGGCGTAAACAATACATCAACTATGAGGTAATCCCCAAAAGAAATACTATCCCCAAAAACCCTTAACTAAACCAGATCTGTAATCCTTTATAGGAAATGAAAGCCATGCTGTATCTGGCCGTGGAGGAGGCGCCTTCGGTGGAGAGTGTGGAGGATGATGTCCTGAAGCGGCACTTTGCCAACTTTGACGAGAACTTCTTCCACTACTGCGACAAGGAGCTGAAGAAGATCAACACCTTCTACTCGGAGAAGCTGGCGGAGGCGACCCGAAAGTTCGCCACTCTGAATGCCGAGCTGAAGACGTCGCTGGAGGAGTCGGAACGCAGCGCCAAGAAGTCCAAGGGCCAGAAGAAGAATGCCGCTCTGCCAGAGCGTAAGGCCCGGGAGCTCAAGCTGGCCTTCAGCGAGTTCTATCTGAGTCTGATCCTGCTGCAGAACTACCAGAATCTGAATCATACCGGCTTCCGGAAAATACTCAAGAAGCACGATAAGGTGAGGATTTATGATCTCTGCATCGGGGCCTTGACCCCGTCGGGGATTAGATGGTGTCTGGAGCGCAGAGGAGTAGTATTACTTATCTTGAAGGGAATTTATGCTCTCTCATAGCTGTGTGTTTGGTTTTGTGGTCAAGTTTTGGATGAATCATTAGCCAAGTATGATGAGTAATCTCCCACTCTCTCCTCTTAGCTGCTGCGCGTCGATAGCGGAGCCAAGTGGCGGCAGGAGTATGTCGAGGCCTCGCACTTCTTCACCAACAAGGACATCGACAACATCATCAACGAGACGGAGACGACGGTGACCGGTGAACTGGAGGGCGGTGACCGGCAGCGGGCCATGAAACGGTTGAGAGTTCCTCCGCTGGGTGAGCAACAGAGTCCGTGGACCACCTTCAAGGTGGGCCTCTTCTCCGGCAGCTTTATTGTCCTGGGCATTGTGGTGGTGCTATCGGCGATCTTTCACGAGATCAGTGGCGAGAACCTGAAGGTCACCTTCCGACTCTACAGAGGTCCACTGCTCATAATCGAGTTCATCTTCCTCATCGGCGTGAATATCTACGGCTGGCGGTCGTCGGGCGTGAATCATGTCCTGATCTTCGAGCTGGATCCGAGGAATCACCTGTCCGAGCAGCATCTCATGGAGTTGGCGGCGATCTTTGGTGTCGTGTGGACCCTCAGTATGCTGAGCTACTTGTACAGCGCCAGTCTGGCCATACCGGCCTTCATCAATCCACTGACCCTCACCCTGATCATGGTCCTCTTTCTGGCCAATCCCTTTCATGTCCTCCACCACGACGCGAGGTTCTGGCTATGGAGGATCACAGGTCGCTGCCTGGCGGCGCCGTTCTTCCATGTGGGCTTTGCCGATTTCTGGCTGGGCGATCAGCTGAACTCCCTGGTGACGGCCATCCTGGACTTTGAATACCTCATCTGTTTCTACTTTACGAACGGCAACTGGACGGAGGCGCGCGACGCCTCCATCTGCATGGAGAAGGACTTTATCATCAGGCCGATAGTGAACTGTTTGCCGGCCTGGTTCCGGTTTGCCCAGTGCCTGCGACGATATCGCGACTCCCGAGAGGCCTTTCCCCATCTGGTGAATGCCGGGAAGTACTCCACCACCTTCATGGTGGTCATCTTTGCCACCCTGAAGAGCTTCTACAGCTGTGAGTCCTTGTGAGGATCGGTTTTTGGGTTAAATAATAATTCTCCTTTCAGCTCACTATGCTAGCACCTTTGATAATCCCTACACCTGGCTGTGGATCATTGCCTCCATTGTGTCCTCCTGCTATGCCTACACGTGGGACATCAAGATGGATTGGGGACTCTTCGACAAGAATGCGGGGGAGAATACGTTCCTCCGCGAGGAGGTGGTCTACTCCTCAACGGTGGGTTGATCCATCATTATCCTTTTCCGGATCAGTTGTAATCTTTCTCCTTAGGGCTTCTATTACTTTGCCATTGTGGAGGATCTGGCGCTGCGTTTCATCTGGGCACTGTCCTTCTACCTCACAGAAATGAAGATAGTCAGCAGTGACATAATGACCTCAATAACGGGTATCCTAGAGGTGTTCCGGTGGGTTCATCATACACTAATCTCTTGCTATACCACTGGCTAAGTAATCCCCTCTCCATTGCAGTCGCTTCGTTTGGAACTTTTTCCGGCTGGAGAACGAGCATCTGAACAATTGCGGCAAGTTCCGAGCTGTGAGAGATATCTCTATCGCTCCCCTGGACTCATCCGATCAGGCCCTGATCCTACGGATGATGGACGAGGGCGATGGCGTCATCAATCGCTATACCAAGACGAACCGGCCGAAGCCCAAGAAGATCAAGGATCCGGAGAAGCGTAGCCTGTTGCAGCCGCGCGGCTCCATGCCCGATCTTCGGATCGATATCGATAGTAAAAAGTTGTAGAGTTGGATCGTCCAGGATCGTTGCCACAGTGCTTCCTATATATATATATATATCTACTATATATTATCATCATACTTAATATTTTTTTCGTTGTTTAGCTAATTTTTTTTTGTACATTTTAGTAACTTAAGTACTTAAAGTTGAGGAGCAATAATTAGACTATAAGATTGTTTTTTTTTTCTTCCTAAATCTGCTAATTAAGCATTCCATTCTAACAAGAACCAACAACTAAAAAAAAAAAGACCAAAACCTATAACCTTTAACCTTTTAAAAACTATAATCCTTACTGGCAGGTGATGAGTCCTTAATGGCAGTATTAGTACTTAAAAAAGGCGAACAAAAACATTAAAAAAAAAAAAAGACAAAAATCCTGCAACCTTTCCAACCAAATTCCTATATCCATACCCTATATAACTATATAAATATATATATCTGATATATCTCTAGAGACTGTGACCTTAAATCTGAACTGAAATTGTAAATAAAAGTGTGATGTGTGGTGTTTTTTTGTAAAAAAAAAAAAAATAAATAAATGAAAGATAATCCAATAATTAGATATAGGTAGGATATATAACCATATCTATATAGAACATATATATATATCGACTGTACCACCATAGGATTAATCCTTTTTCGAGACAATTTTTAATGTCAATTCTTTGCCATAAAATGTTTGCCTTTTCCACAATAATTATCCTTGTACTATATATATAGACCTGTAATATCCTTTGTCCAGGACCTCCACACCCACACCCACACCCACACCCACACACACACATATATATACACAGCAGAAGCCTCAATGTAAACTCATCCTCTCCAAGAGGACTCGCCGCATGATAACGAAATAAAAAAGCCTTAAAAGTATAAACCAAAAAATAATAATAATACAGAAAATAATAGAATCCTCGGAGGAGGGTGGAGACCCTAGCACACGTTCTCCACCACACCCGAGACCAGGGCAGTGCCACGCATTATCCAGAACTCCGGATCGTTGTTGCTCTTGAGGAGAACGGAGAGTATAAAGTTGGTCGAGTGGCCGGTGGTGGAGAGGACGCCGGAACGCTGCTGGGTCTTGTAGAGGGGCGCCTCGTACCGGATCTGGGGCGAGATCTCCAGGCAGGGCTTGAACTTGACCACCGGCATCCGGGTGTAGAGCTCCCCAAAGTTGGCGTCGCACAGGCCGCCCTTGCTCAGGTCCCAGCGCGCCGCCTCGATGAAGATTCCATGCACATGGATGATGGCGTCGGTGCACTCCGGCAGATTGCCATACAGCTTGGCGTCCTAGCGAGAGATCAGAGATTAAGTGTTGGAATACCCAAGGCTATGGCCAACTTACGCTCTTGTTGTTGGAGTGCATCTCGAAAAAGTCCTGCTGGATGAGCTCCTTCTCCACGATTTCAAAGTCAATCTTGAGGGAGTCGATGGGCAGAATGCGGCGACGGGCGTAGGTCTGCAGGATGCCCGTGAGGAAGGACTGGGGGAAGAAGAAGCCACTGATCCAGTAGGAGCGGGGTGCTCCATTCTCGGCCCACTGCTGGATGAAGTCGATGCGCCGCTGGAAGTCCGCGATGTAGCTGGGCAGCGGCTTGATGGACAGGAAGCTGCGTTTCGCCCAGGAGGCGGGCACCAGGTTGGCCAGGAGGGCCTTGAAGACGTTCTCCAGCTCCTCGGACATCACCACCAGACCCTTGATGGCCTTGGACAGGTTCGCCAGGCTGTCGTGGATGATGCCCAGCGAGATGTTGAAGCGATCGATCTCCTGGACGAGGACAATGGTCAGGGACGGCACCTGGCCCTTGCTGTCCAGCTGAAAGAGGAGATTCGAGAGGCGTCCACCACTAGGAGATCTCCAATACTTACCACCGAAAGGGTGTCGTGCAGAGGCTCCCGTTGAATCTTGGTTACCAGAGCCTTCTGGATGCGGGCTATGATCTGCTGGGCGATCTCGTTCTCCGCCGCCTGGCCCTCGTCCGCCGACGACCTGGGCTGGCCCAGCAGCAGGGTGCTGATGAAGAAGTCCGTCTCCTTCGTCTGGAAGACAATGTTGGCGTTCTGGTTCATGCCAAAGATCTCCGGATCCTCCAGCACCGGGAAGTTCTGCACAAAGTTGGCGTACTCCACCAGGGTCTTCTTCCTGGGATCCCGGTAGTTGCTCTCACCGCGACAGTACTTGTACTCCGGATGGATGATCCGCTTGGAGGAGAAGATCATCAGGATGGTGCGCAGACAGCGCAGATCCCAGTAGTCGGTGACGCGACCGCCCCACGTGATCTCGCCGTTGATGTAGAGGATCGCCTCCCAGGGTATGTCCTCGGCCACCTCGCGATCGATGAAGAAGTCCAGCGTCTTCAGGCCGCACTCCCGGTCGCTCTCGCTGAACTCGTAGGTGATGTTCCAGCCCAGCGGCCCGAACTTGCGCCTCTCGAGGAGCACGGCATGGAACATGCACAGCCCGAACACGATGGCCCGCCAGTTGCCGTTCTGGATGTGCTGCTCGAAGAAGTCCGGCTTGAGGTCGGCCAGGGCGCCCATCACGTTCGCCTTGATGCCCTTGGGCGGCTCATTGGTGATCTTCACCGAGTTCTGGAGCACGCTGATCGGGAACGTGGCAATGGGCATGGAGGAGAGATACAGCCGGAACTCCGGATTGGCCTTGGTGATCCCGAGGGTCAGGTTGCGGACAATCGTCTCCAGGGTCTGCATAAACGACGTGGCCAGATGGCAGTTCTGCAGGAACACCCAGTGCCCCAACCTCAGGCTCTTCTCGATCAGGTTCTCCGCCAGCGGACCCTGCCCCTGGCCCAGGGATATCGAGTAGTACTTGTCCGTGAACTGCATCAGGGTGGTGAACTTGAGGAAACCAGCCATGGGATCCGACCCAGTGGACAGGACAAAGATCAGAGGTGTAATCGCTGAGGTGTCCAGGTAGCTGGAAAGGAAGGATTAGAATCTCTGGAGGAGCAGGGTTAGCTGATATCTTACACCGTGCTGAGCTGGGTTCCGGCTCCCGCTTCCGTAAAGTATCGCCCCACGGTGCCGTTCAGATAGCAGACGATGTTCAGGAGGAATCTGGGCTTCCGGAAGACCGCCACGAACATCAGCTTGCTGAAGAGCTTCAACCGCTTGTTCCACTTGTCCGTGGGCGGTTGCTTCGTGCCGGCAAAGTCAAAGTCCTCCCGGTTGTCCATCAGCTGGATGAAGAATGGCTTGTCCAGTTCATCGGTGAAGCCGGAGAAGACGTCCGGGAAGTTGTCCTCCAGATAGATGCACGTATCCCACTGCATCTGGCTGAGCTTCAGGCTGGCCGGCATCTTCTTTGGCCGGATATTGCCCACGGAGCCGCGCGTCAGGAAGTTGAACTCCTCGTCGGTGACGCGCTTCTCCTGCCGCTCCACGGACAGGGCCAGCAGGAAGCTGAAGATGATCTTGTGGTTCTCGAACAGCCCCCGCGATATGTTGTCGAAAATGGCCTTAAGCTCGTCCACCATCAGGGTGGCTATCCGCACCTCCACCGTCTGGACGGGATGATCCAGTCGCAGGACATTGCAGAAGACCTGCGTGAAGTACTTCAGGGAGTACTGGTACATGGGATCGATCTCGGCCAGGCCGGCCACCACAAAGTAGAGGATGGCGCCGCGCGATGCCAGGATGCGGTACCGCTCCCGGGAGGCAGTGATGATCTTTTCCGTCTCCTCCGTGTCGATCAGTCGGGCGGCGATGATCAAGGAGGTTTCCTGGAGGGGATTTCATTAGGAAAGACCGTGTCTAATGTGTAGACTCACCTTGGCATCGTTGAGGGTCTCCACCAGCTCCTCATCGTCCAGGATATTGCCCTCGGAGTTGAAGAGCAGCTTCAGGACCTTGTCCTCCAGCGCCAGCAGCTGCTGCTTGTCGGAGTTGATCTTCACGACGAGGTCATTGCGTTGGATCTCCATGGCGGGCAGTTCAATGGCCACAATGTCCCTAAAGGAAGAGGATTAGAGGAGCACATGCCAGGATGCAAAACAAAGAGTAACCCACGCCAGGAGCTGATCCTCCAGGCCGCTTTCCGTCACCAGGAAGTTCACCAACGTGACGTTGATGCACACCTCGGGCAGGTAGTGGGGATTGGGCAGCTTGGTGGTCATGTAGAGCTTGAAGTTGTCGTCGTAGTCGATGACCTGGTCGCCCAGCTTCAGGTACACCCGACCCTCGAACTTGTAGGTCTCCCGCTGGAGGATGGGGCGCAGCGAAGGATCGATCGTCTCGTTGATTTCCTCCAGCAGGACCGGGTAGCCCTGCCGGACACTGTTCTCCAGGACGCGCATCATGCCCGGATCCGTCATCTTGATGACCTGGAGATTGTTGGCGCCCTCCATGTTGCGGATCCAGCGATTGGCCTGCTCCTGGGGATCGATCATGAGCGCCCAGCGGAGTGCCCGGGTGGCGTAGATGCCATTCTCAATGGATATGTTGTCCTTGGGTAGGCCGTCGACGTTCCACTGGCGCATCTCGTACGGATCGCCGAGCACCTTCAGGAGGTTGAAGTCGCCGCTGGAGGGGATCTTGTGCTCCCGGCACTTGGTCACCCACAGGGCGCTCATGTCGCGCCGGTACTCGTTGGAGAAGGCGCCCAGATAGGCGACGCAGGCGGCGGCCACCAGGACATCCCCCGGGACGCAGGCCAGGTCGCCAGTCAGGGACTTGACGGTCTCCCGCCAGCGCACCTGCTCGTCGGACAGAGCGGAGGTGAGACGGCCGGCACGGTTGATCCGGCCGTAGGTGAGATCGACGTTGTCCTGGATGACCTGGAACTCGCGCTGCTTCTCCTCGAGACTGTCGCGCAGGGCCTGGATCTTGGCCTCGACGGCGGCCAGCTCCTTCTGCTTCTGCCGGAGCACGGTCATCACCTCCTTGAGCTCCGCCTCGGCGGCCTCCTTGCGCTTGATCTTCGGCTCCACCACCTTGTAGACCTTGGAGAACTTGTCCATGGCAATGACCCACATGCTCACCGACTTGGCCACCTTGGAGACCTTCTCGAATTTCTGCAGGGATTACAGCTGGTTAGGATTGGGGGAGAAGAGTGGGTTGGATGAGGACACCTACTGCTGGCACAAAGTCCTTGTGATCGATGTACTTCTTGACCTTCTTGAGGGTGTCGTCCTTCATGTGCTCCTTGTCGTACTCGAAGAGCCGCTTGATGAAGTTGATGTCCGCCATGATGGCCTTGGCCGAGGCCCAGGTGGGTCTACAAAAAGGAGAGGTTAGCTCCAGGAGGATGAGGACACTACCTAGTCCTTAAAACTCACTTGGCACCCAGTAGGATGCACACCGCCTCCATGCAGAACTGCACCAGCGCCGGGGGTGTCGTGAAGGACTTCAGCTCATTGATGTCCGCCTTGGTGAGACCCTTGAGGGCATCCTCGGCCTCGCGTAGTGCCGGCATGGCTATCTCCAGATCCTTGCTGGCGTCCTCGGATATGGCCTGGGCCACCGCCGCCTTCTCCTTGGCGTTCGTCTCGTCCTCCATGACGCTCTGCTTGACGGCGTCCGCCTGTTTGGTCTCCTTGGTCAGGTTATCCACCAGGGACTTCATCAAGGCGGATTTCTCGTCCAGCTGCGGCACCATCACCTCCAGTTCCTTGCCCATGACAGCGATCTGGAAAGGGAAGGGTTAATCCTGTAAAGAAAGAAAGGATATACTGCCCAGATACGCACCACTTCGTTGGTTTCCAGGAGCTTGTTCAGACCATTGGCGATGCGCTTCCTCTTGGCAATGATCTCCTGGTTCTTGAGCTTGAGGAGATTCTGGTAGAGCTTGAGCAGCTCCAGGTAGCTGCTGGGCGTGGTGTAGTAGTGGCGCTTCATCTCCTTGTAGAACCGCACCGAGGCATCCTCCACGGTCTTATGCATGAACACCGTGGTGCTGGCCAGCGCCACCCGGTCCTCCATCTTGGGGGCGATCTTGTTCAGCAGTCCCAGGGCCACCGAGTAGAGGGCTTCGGTGGGCCAGCTGGTGAACCAATCGATGGTGGTGCAGTTGACCAGCGAGGGGAACATGCGGCATCTCCTGCGGAAGGCATCACCCACCGGACTCATCGACATGACCACATGGAGGTTGTTCCGCACCCGGTTGATGAAGTGCTTGTAGATCTCGTCCCGAGTGCAGGGCTGGAAACGTAAGAAATCCTCTAGAGAAACTTTATCAAGGATTGATCTCATCCCACCTCATCCTTTCTGTTCTCATTACAGCCATCGCGGGCATCCAGGATGATCTTCTCGTACTCATCCCCCTCGAAGAGATTGGGAACCTCGCCGGAATTGAGGATATTGTTGATGTCCTCCAGGAACTCCTCCTCCACAATCTGGCTGTCAATCAGCAGGAAGGTCACAGGTTGGTTTTCAATCTAAGGATACACCACAGAATCATTAGAAGAATCCCCAAATCCCCTAAAGAACTCGAACCCACCCCTGCAATCCTGTAGAGAACTCTGAGATCCTCGTGGAAGGCATTGAGATCGTAGTTCCGCCTCATCTCGATCTGCCAGCAGTTGTATTCGTTGACGTGGGAGGCCAGCCTGGTGAGGGATTGCTTGCCCATGCCGGCCACACCCACCAGGAGACCGTTGCCCCGATCGCTGCGCAGGAGACGGGCCAGCCGCACCGTATGCTCCATGGCGTCCTGGAAGAGGATCAGCTTCATGCCCTTACCCACCGCTATCGAGTTGTAGTCCACGATGTAGTCGTTGAGGACGCTCTCCAGCTTTCCATGGTCCTTGATCTCATCGTAGATTCTCTCGTTCTTGGGCTTTCCAAAGACCATAAAGTCTCCAAAGAGGACCTCCGGTTCATCATCGCCGATTACCTGAAAGGAAGGATAGCTTTTGGAGGCCTGCTAGTGCTCCTGGGGGCTAGGGATCCTCACCTGCCGATTAAAGTGGTCCAGACACACATCCTTCATGAGGCTCTTGAAGAGATTCTTGTCGTCCTGGTTGATGAGGCGATCGTGGAAGACACGGGTGGTCTCGTGGTAGAACAGCCTGAGGATCTGGCTCTCCTGGTTGTAGTGCAGGTTGCTGGCTTGCAGGATGCCCTGGATGCACTTGGACAGATCCCGCAAGTTGAAGATGTAGTGCGAGCGATCGGGAGTCGGCAGCATCACGTTGGCCACCCGCATATAGACGTCCACACAGGCGTTGACCATCGGCTCGGAGAGGGCGCGAATGGTGCCGGAGAAGGTCTGCAGGAAGCCGCGCAGGATCCCATTGAAGATCTGGGTGAGGGTCTCCTCGTTGGGCTTGGGCAGCGAGAACAGGGCAAAGTGCCGGACGAAGCGGGGCGTCAGCGGATTCCGGCCACCTCCAGGCGGAGCGCAGGCACAGCCCAGCACCACGTCCAGGATCTCCTTCCAGAAGAGCTTCTCCCGATCGTAGAAGCCCTTGAAGTCGAGGAACTGACGCAGCAGCTCAATGGCCGGCTGGGCACCGTACGTGTCCAGCTTGGGCATATTGACGTCGTCGATGAAGACGATCACCGTCTTGCCCACCGGCGCTCCCAGCTGCGTCTTCTTGCGCTTCTCCAGCGGACCCTCGATCATCTCCTGGGTGCGGACACTGCTCGTCTGGGCGGAGAAGTTCAGGATGACGGGTATGACCTTGCCCTCGCTCTGCAGTCGCTTCATGCAGCTAATGGCGAGGACGGTCTTGCCCACTCCCGTGTCTCCAGTCACCATCACGGGCATGCTCCTCTTGAAGAGCAAGTCAGCCACATAGCTGGGAAAAGAGGATTCTGTTTTGAGGATAGCTTTCTGGAAAGGATTAGCTCTCTAGGCTCACCCATATTTGGTGGTGTCCACTGTGGGCACTTGCATGTCATAGTAAGAGATCTCCGGATCGAAGTGGAACTTTTGCATGATCTGGTTCCAGCTGCCCCAGTCCTGCTTCTCCAGATCTATCCGGAAGTTCCACATCGAGGATTTGGGTAATCTTCAAGTTAAAAAATAAATTTAAAAAATAAAAAATTAACTCCACTGGGTAGATCCTACGTCATGTTGGGATGCTGGCTCATGGCCCGACTCCACTGCTCCTCAAAGGACACCTTCTCGGCATCCTTCAGGTTGGAGGCAATCGCCCAGAGCACCGTCCAGGCAAAGATCTTGGTGAGCAGCTCCTTGGCCGGGTCATCGGCCATGGTCCGCCAGTTGACGGCCTCCAGCTGGGACGAGGTGAGATTGCAGCACAGGCGCACCTTGGAGCCGAGCACCTGGTGGATGGTGTACACCGCCCGCTTCCTCTCGATCTTTAGGGCCTTGTCGAAGTACCCGACGAAGAGCTGGTAGAGGAAGTCGGCCAGCTGGGGCGGCAGCTTCTTGCCCATGTCCACTTCGCGCCAGGTGTCGATCAGGGGGATCCAGCCGAGATCGCCGGGATCCACGTAGACCATGCCGCAGCGGGAGACGGTGGCGGGGGAGGCCTGCAGCAGGTCCTGCACCTCGAAGAGCATATGGATCCAGGCGGTCAGCTTGATGCGCTCCGAGTTGGCCAGACAGAGCATCTTGTTGTCGTCCAGCACGGTGTTCAGATTCTCAATCCACACGGCGTCCACCGGCCCATCGCACATGATCCACTGATGGATTTCATCTGCAAATCGAATTGATTTCTCGAGAGGATTAGGGGATGCTATAGTATGCTATACTCACCCTCCACCAAGGTGGCTGTGCGCACCGCCAAGCCCAGTAGCCCGTCCTGCCATTCCAGCGTCTTGGCGTCCACATAGCCGTACAGCTCGTTCATCGTCACCGCCTTGGGATTCATGGTTTGGATGACCACCGGCCGGAAGTTCGGGTCATGGACCTCGTTCTCGAACAGGTGCGACAGGGCGAACTCCAGGGCGTGCAGGACCACGGACTTGCCGCCCCCCGTAGGCCCCACCAACATCACGCCCCAGCGGACGCACATCGTCTCGTACAGCTGGAGGCACTTCCGGATCGTCGTGGGCACCGCCTGCAGGTACTTGTTCCGGAGTCCCAGCCGCAGACTGGCCTCCAGGTGGGGGTGCTGCGAGTCGGGCAGCTCCACGCCCGGAAACAGATCGCTGAGGATGCCCCGGAAGAGCACCGCATCGTCGGCCAAGAACTTGGGTATGTTGGAGTCCCGGAGAGCGGCAATCAGGGTGATGTCCTCCCGCTGGTTGGGCGAGGCGCGCTTCAAGGCTCCGGCCATCACCAGGACGGACTTCACGGCTCGCATGCCGAAGTCGTAGTGGTTCTGCTGGCTCAGCTGCTGGCTGCAGAGCTGGTACATCTGCACCATCTTCCTGGCCAGGATCTTCGGGTCTTCGAAGCCCTCCGAGTAGAGAATGACCTCGGAAATGAGGGCGTAGTCCGGCACCATCATGGAAATGGGTCGGAAGAGGGCCTTCAGGTTGTCCGGCAGCTCGGTTCGTCCGGCATAGCCGGGATTCATGGTGATGAAGACGCAGCAGGAGCGATTGATCTTGATCTCGCGGCCCTCAAAGATGAAGCTATCAGAGGGTGGTCAGTGGGGTTAGTTGGGTTCGGGTGTATAGCTGGAGGAGGACTCACCGCTTCACCTTCATCGCCTTGGCCGTTCGGATGGTGATCAGTTGCTGGGCAATCACGGAGAGCACTTCGATGTCGATGCGGTTGAACTCGTCGAAGCAGCACCAGGCACCGCACTGGGCCAGGCCGGAGAAGAAGCGACCCATCATCTTGTAGTCCAGGCCGTCGGAGCAGTTGAACACCACGCACTGCTTGGCCAGGGCCTTGGCCAAATCCTTGGTGGTCTCCGTCTTCCCAGTGCCGGCTGGTCCGGCCGGTGCGCCGCCCAGGTCCATCTGGAAGGCGCCCATCAGGCACAGGTAGCAGCGATCCGTTAGCGGGGTGAGCACCAGGACACCGCCGGCACCCAGGTACTCGTAGTAGTACGGGATGTTGGCGGCCGCCATCCGGGAGTAGACCGTTTCCGTTTCATCCGCCCAGTAGAAGCGCAGCATTTTCAGCCAGTTGAAGTCCGTCCTGGAAGAGATTAGAGATTAATCCTCTCCAGAAATCCTCTCCCCATCAACTTACGGCTTGGACACCTCCTTTTCGATGAGCATGTGCACCGAGTCCTTGGCGTGGACATCGATGGTGATCAGCGCGCACAGGATCTTCCGCAGCAGCGAGGAGATGCTCTTCCTCGTCAGAGCGGCCAGTGCTCCCAGATCCTTCAGGCACTTGATCTCGAACTTGGCCATCTTCTCGAGAATGTTGAGGGGATTGCGTTCCTTGCCCTCGTAGATGCGATGAATGTCGGCCGCCCACTGCACCTGGGAGACGGTGAGCACCACCTGATTGGGATGGTCCTGGAACCAGTCCTCGCGCTCCTTGGCCGGATAGCACTGATAGCCGAAGCGCATGTACCGCTTGACGGACACGAACATGGCCTCCTCCACCTTGGACAGCCACTCCTCGACGGCGCCGCGCGCCTTCAGGCCCTTCCCGAACTGCAGCTTCTCGCCCTCGGGCGACAGGAAGGCGATGATGTCGTTGGTGGCCACCATCTTGCCGTCGCCGCCCTCCTTCGACCCAAACTCCAAGCGGTAGATGGCATCGAAGCACTTGCGCAGATGCGGCTGCACAGCCTGGGGTATCCTGGTCTGGGCCAGGATCTCCAGCAGCTCGTCATTGGACAGGAAATAGAATCTACAAAGAGAGGACTCGTTTCTGGAAGGATCACCCAAGATGAGGTAGAACCTACCTTGGGAACACCACACGCTTCACCTCCAAATAGGCCTCCAGACCGCGGGATATCAGGTCCAGGAGACGATTGTTCTCCACCAGAGACTTGAACACCTCCACGCTGGACATGGTGGGCAGGGCGAGGGCCACCTTCTTGGCCTGGCGGACCGTCTCCTTGAAGCTCTTGTCGACGGTGAAGAACATCTTGGCCTCGTGGGGCAACTGTCGTTGGATGTCCGCCGAGGCGAAGATGGCCTCCAGATAGATCCAAGCTCCCTGGCAGTCCATCCAGGATTCTGTAAGAAAAGGGGGTCAGATCAGGATTCTATGGTACTAAGGTAAAGACCCACCAAAGGTCTTGGCAAACTGATCCATGGCCGTTATCCATTCATCCACCTTGCCCTTGATGGGACCCACGAACTTGGAGGCAGCTATGGTGTTGATATTCACATTCGAGTCATCGAGCACGGCCTGGAGCTCCTCGGTGCCCGCCAGGATGAAGACATCTTTGGCATCGTGATGCGATACAATGGAGAGTTCCGTCTCCTTCCAGGTGGTCTCTATCGCCTTCAGCATGTTCTCCAGCTGGACTTCGCCGGTGGCCTGCGAGGAGATCTGCATGAGCGCCTCCCCGATACTGACATCGTCGAAGGCGTGCACATCCTCGTACGTTTGGATAATGATGTCCTTCTCCTGGAAGAACTTGCGGTTCAGCAGGTCCTCGATCTCGGTCCAGTGGCGCTACAAGAAAAGGATAATCGATTAGGATTCTGAGAGGATTCTATTCCTGGGACCTACAGCTCTCAGGTTTGGATTTCGCAGATAACCGATGACCGGCAGCTTCTCCTTGAAGGCCTCTGCAGAGGCATGGAGGACGGGCACGATGTTGTTCTCCGGCAAGTACTTCATAAACTGGAGACAGTTCTTGATCGTCTTGGCATTCAGCTCGACCATGTCGTTGACGTTCAGGGTATTGAAGTCCGCGGTGATCCACTCGGCCAGGGACTCCTCCCACTCGGTCTGGGTCTTGTAGAGATTCTGACGCATCCGGATGTCATAGAAGCCGGAGGCCATCTCCTCGTACATGGTTAGGTCGATCTGGAACTCCTTCTGATAGCCCAGGAACTCATCGGCCCGGTCACGGCACTCGTTCAACCGATCCAGCATTACGTCCAACTTGGACGTCACAGCATTACGATCCGATTTCGCCTGATTTCGGAGAGGATAATGGTCAGATATAATGGTCAGAGATTCCCCCCCCCCTCCAAATACTCACATCCAACAGCGAGGGATCCAGGGCCATGATGGCCACTTCGTGGATCTCCTCCTTCAACTGGGCGATGTCATCCTGCATGGCGTCTTCCAGGCGATTGATAAACTCCTGCCGCTTCTCCTTGATCTCCGCCAGCGTCTCTCGGGTGCGGTTCAAGTAGTCCTCGGTGTCCATGTAGTCCTCCTTGGACTCATCATCGATGGGTATGCTAAAGTCCTTGATAATAAGCAGCAGGTCATGGACGTAGTCAATGCCCTTGAAGATGTCGTCCAGCTCAGAGTCGCACGTGTCCAGGAACCGAATATGGGCCACAATCTCGAGGGTTTCGTGCGGTTCGTAGCATATCCTGCCATAGAAGTCCTGTGCCTCCTCGTACAACCTGGTCGTTTCCTCCTCGGCCAGCTTGGGCAAATAGGTGGCCAGGATGTTCTGAAGCCGGGAACAGACCGGAGTCACTGTCTCCTTGAAGTTCGTTTGGGTTAGCTTCAGTAATCCCAAGAAGATGTACTCCAGGATGCCATCCAAGGCCCGGACATTGTTGCAGTATCGATCGCAGTAGGCACGCAGCAGTTCCAGGTCTATAAGGATAATAAAGGATATTAAATACTTCAATTACCTTCCTTAAACCCACCTCTCTCTGTGTTCAGGACTGTGGGATCTGTACTGTTGTCCACTTCGAAGTTCTCCCGAATGCTGTGGAACCTCATCGTGTAGAGACGAGCTCTATCGTAAGCTCGTCGAATCAAATTAAACATGTTTTTCCTAAAATAAACAAACAAATTAAGGAATTAATAAATAAATTAAATATATTTCCAACAAAACTTTTCTCTTATTGGGTTTTTTCATTAAAAAATTCTTATTGAAAGAAGATCTTTAAAAACTATGCAGAATTGGCGGGCGATTAGTGATATCGATCATAGTTATCGATCAGTGCTACCACAATCCTTCAAAAAAGAAAAATGGCGGACAGAGAGTTTGATGCAGAATGGTGGAGAATCGATCCACAAATCGTTTAAGGTACTCCGCTTGAGAATCGGATAAGAATTGGCTGAGATATAGCTATGGATCTGGGCTGGAGGTGGATATTCGGGATTTTGTAAGGGGTCTCCCCACAAAATTGGGAAAAAAATGGGAAAAATATTTTGTGATCAGATTTTGATGCAGAATGGTGGAGAATCGATCCACAAATCGTTTAAGGTACTCCACTTGAGAATCGGATGAGAATTGGCTGAGATATAGCTATGGCTCTGGGCTGGAGGTCGATATTCGGGATTTCACAAGGGGTCTCCCCACAAAATTGGGAAAAAAATACGAAAAATATTTTGTGATCAGATTTTGATGCAGAATAGTGGAGAATCGATCCACAAATCGTTTAAGGTACTCCGCTTGAGAATCGGATAAGAATTGGCTGAGATATAGCTATGGCTCTGGGCTGGAGGGGGATATTCGGGATTTCACAAGGGGTCTCCCCACAAATTTGGGAAAAAAATGCGAAAAATATTTTGTGATCAGATTTTGATGCAGAATAGTCGAGAATCGATCCACAAATCGTTTAAGGTACTCCGCTTGAGAATCGGATAAGAATTGGCTGAGATATAGCTATGGCTCTGGGCTGGAGGGGGATATTCGGGATTTCACAAGGGGTCTCCCCACAAATTTGGGAAAAAAATGCGAAAAATATTTTGTGATCAGATTTTGATGCAGAATAGTCGAGAATCGATCCACAAATCGTTTAAGGTACTCCGCTTGAGAATCGGATAAGAATTGGCTGAGATATGGGTATGGCTCTGGGCTGGAGGGGGATATTCGGGATTTCACGAGGGGCCTCCCCACAAAATTGGGAAAAAAATGCGTAAAATATTTTGTGATCAGATTTTGATGTGGAATAGTGGAGAATCGGTCTACAAATCGTTTAAGGTACTCCGCTTGAGAATCGGATGAGAATTGGCTGAGATATAGCTATGGATCTGGGCTGGAGGTGGATATTCGGGATTTCACGAGGGGCCTCCCCACAAAATTGGGAAAAAAATGCGAAAAATATTTTGTGATCAGATTTTGATGCAGAATAGTGGAGAATCGATCCACAAATCGTTTAAGGTACTCCGCTTGAGAATCGGATAAGAATTGGCGGAGATATAGCTATGGCTATGGGCTGGAGGGGGATATTCGGGATTTCACAAGGGGTCTCCCCACAAAATTGGGAAAAAAATGCGAAAAATATTTTGTGATCAGATTTTGATGCAGAATAGTGGAGAATCGATCCACAAATCGTTTAAGGTACTCCGCTTGAGAATCGGATGAGAATTGGCTGAGATATAGCTATGGATCTGGGCTGGAGGTGGATATTCGGGATTTCACGAGGGGTCTCCCCACAAAATTGGGAAAAAAATGCGAAAAATATTTTGTGATCAGATTTTGATGCAGAATAGTGGAGAATCGATCCACAAATCGTTTAAGGTACTCCGCTTGAGAATCGGATAAGAATTGGCTGAGATATAGCTATGGATCTGGGCTGGAGGTGGATATTCGGGATTTCACAAGGGGTCTCCCCACAAAATTGGGGAAAAAATGCGAAAAATATTTTGTGATCAGATTTTGATGCAGAATAGTGGAGAATCGATCCACAAATCGTTTAAGGTACTCCGCTTGAGAATCGGATAAGAATTGGCTGAGATATAGCTATGGCTCTGGGCTGGAGGGGGATATTCGGGATTTCACAAGGGGTCTCCCCACAAATTTGGGAAAAAAATGCGAAAAATATTTTGTGATCAGATTTTGATGCAGAATAGTGGAGAATCGATCCACAAATCGTTTAAGGTACTCCGCTTGGGAATCGGATAAGAATTGGCTGAGATATAGCTATGGCTCTGGGCTGGAGGGGGATATTCGGGATTTCACAAGGGGTCTCCCCACAAATTTGGGAAAAAAATGCGAAAAATATTTTGTGGTCAGATTTTGATGCAGAATGGTGGAGAATCGATTCACAAATCGATTAAGGTACTCCGCTTGAGAATCGGATAAGAATTGGCTGAGATATAGCTATGGCTTTGGGCTGGAGGGGGATATTCGGGATTTCACAAGGGGTCTCCCCACAAAATTGGGAAAAAAATGCGAAAAATATTTTGTGATCAGATTTTGATGCAGAATGGTGGAGAATCGATTCACAAATCGATTAAGGTACTCCGCTTGAGAATCGGATAAGAATTGGCTGAGATATAGCTATGGCTTTGGGCTGGAGGGGGATATTCGGGATTTCACAAGGGGTCTCCCCACAAAATTGGGAAAAAAATGCGAAAAATATTTTGTGATCAGATTTTGATGCAGAATAGTGGAGAATCGATTCACAAATCGTTTAAGGTACTCCGCTTGAGAATCGGATAAGAATTGGCTGAGATATAGCTATGGCTCTGGGCTGGAGGGGGATATTCGGGATTTCACAAGGGGTCTCCCCACAAATTTGGGAAAAAAATGCGAAAAATATTTTGTGATCAGATTTTGATGCAGAATAGTGGAGAATCGATCCACAAATCGTTTAAGGTACTCCGCTTGGGAATCGGATAAGAATTGGCTGAGATATAGCTATGGCTCTGGGCTGGAGGGGGATATTCGGGATTTCACAAGGGGTCTCCCCACAAATTTGGGAAAAAATGCGAAAAATATTTTGTGATCAGATTTTGATGCAGAATGGTGGAGAATCGATTCACAAATCGATTAAGGTACTCCGCTTGAGAATCGGATAAGAATTGGCTGAGATATAGCTATGGCTTTGGGCTGGAGGGGGATATTCGGGATTTCACAAGGGGTCTCCCCACAAAATTGGGAAAAAAATGCGAAAAATATTTTGTGATCAGATTTTGATGCAGAATGGTGGAGAATCGATTCACAAATCGATTAAGGTACTCCGCTTGAGAATCGGATAAGAATTGGCTGAGATATAGCTATGGCTTTGGGCTGGAGGGGGATATTCGGGATTTCACAAGGGGTCTCCCCACAAAATTGGGAAAAAAATGCGAAAAATATTTTGTGATCAGATTTTGATGCAGAATAGTGGAGAATCGATTCACAAATCGTTTAAGGTACTCCGCTTGAGAATCGGATAAGAATTGGCTGAGATATAGCTATGGCTCTGGGCTGGAGGGGGATATTCGGGATTTCACAAGGGGTCTCCCCACAAATTTGGGAAAAAAATGCGAAAAATATTTTGTGATCAGATTTTGATGCAGAATAGTGGAGAATCGATCCACAAATCGTTTAAGGTACTCCGCTTGGGAATCGGATAAGAATTGGCTGAGATATAGCTATGGCTCTGGGCTGGAGGGGGATATTCGGGATTTCACAAGGGGTCTCCCCACAAATTTGGGAAAAAAATGCGAAAAATATTTTGTGATCAGATTTTGATGCAGAATGGTGGAGAATCGATTCACAAATCGATTAAGGTACTCCGCTTGAGAATCGGATAAGAATTGGCTGAGATATAGCTATGGCTTTGGGCTGGAGGGGGATATTCGGGATTTCACAAGGGGTCTCCCCACAAAATTGGGAAAAAAATGCGAAAAATATTTTGTGATCAGATTTTGATGCAGAATGGTGGAGAATCGATTCACAAATCGATTAAGGTACTCCGCTTGAGAATCGGATAAGAATTGGCTGAGATATAGCTATGGCTTTGGGCTGGAGGGGGATATTCGGGATTTCACAAGGGGTCTCCCCACAAAATTGGGAAAAAAATGCGAAAAATATTTTGTGATCAGATTTTGATGCAGAATAGTGGAGAATCGATTCACAAATCGTTTAAGGTACTCCGCTTGAGAATCGGATAAGAATTGGCTGAGATATAGCTATGGCTCTGGGCTGGAGGGGGATATTCGGGATTTCACAAGGGGTCTCCCCACAAATTTGGGAAAAAATGCGAAAAATATTTTGTGATCAGATTTTGATGCAGAATGGTGGAGAATCGATTCACAAATCGATTAAGGTACTCCGCTTGAGAATCGGATAAGAATTGGCTGAGATATAGCTATGGCTTTGGGCTGGAGGGGGATATTCGGGATTTCACAAGGGGTCTCCCCACAAAATTGGGAAAAAAATGCGAAAAATATTTTGTGATCAGATTTTGATGCAGAATAGTGGAGAATCGATCCACAAATCGTTTAAGGTACTCCGCTTGAGAATCGGATAAGAATTGGCTGAGATATAGCTATGGCTCTGGGCTGGAGGGGGATATTCGGGATTTCACAAGGGGTCTCCCCACAAAATTGGGAAAAAAATGCGAAAAATATTTTGTGATCAGATTTTGATGCAGAATAGTGCAGAATCTATCCACAAATCGTTTAAGGTACTCCGCTGAAGAATCGGATAAGAATTGGCTGAGATATAGCTATGGCTTTGGGCTGGAGGGGGATATTCGGGATTTCACAAGGGGTCTCCCCACAAAATTGGGAAAAAAATGCGAAAAATATTTTGTGATCAGATTTTGATGCAGAATAGTGCAGAATCTATCCACAAATCGTTTAAGGTACTCCGCTTGAGAATCGGATAAGAATTGGCTGAGATATAGCTATGGCTTTGGGCTGGAGGGGGATATTCGGGATTTCACAAGCGGTCTCCCCACAAAATTGGGAAAAAAATGCGAAAAATATTTTGTGATCAGATTTTGATGCAGAATAGTGGAGAATCGATTCACAAATCGTTTAAGGTACTCCGCTTGAGAATCGGATAAGAATTGGCTGAGATATAGCTATGGCTTTGGGCTGGAGGGGGATATTCGGGATTTCACAAGGGGTCTCCCCACAAAATTGGGAAAAAAATGCGAAAAATATTTTGTGATCAGATTTTGATGCAGAATAGTGCAGAATCTATCCACAAATCGTTTAAGGTACTCCGCTGAAGAATCGGATAAGAATTGGCTGAGATATAGCTATGGCTCTGGGCTGGAGGGGGATATTCGGGATTTCACAAGGGGTCTCCCCACAAAATTGGGAAAAAATTGCGAAAAATATTTTGTGATCAGATTTTGATGCAGAATAGTGCAGAATCGATCCACAAATCGTTTAAGGTACTCCGCTTGAGAATCGGATAAGAATTGGCTGAGATCGGATAAGAATTGGCTGAGATATAGCTATGGCTCTGGGCTGGAGGGGGATATTCGGGATTTCACAAGGGGTCTCCCCACAAAATTGTGAAAAAAATGCGAAAAATATTTTGTGATCAGATTTTGATGCAGAATAGTGCAGAATCGATCCACAAATCGATTAAGGTACTCCGCTTGAGAATCGGATGAGAATTGGCTGAGATATAGCTATGGATCTGGGCTGGAGGTGGATATTCGGGATTTCACAAGGGGTCTCCCCACAAAAGTGGGAAAAAAATGCGAAAAATATTTTGTGATCAGATTTTGATGCAGAATAGAGGAGAATCGATCCACAAATCGATTAAGGTACTAATCCCGATTAAGGTCCCGATTAATTGGGAAAAAAATGCGAAAAATATTTTGTGATCAGATTTTGATGCAGAATAGTGCAGAATCGATCCACAAATCGTTTAAGGTACTCCGCTTGAGAATCGGATAAGAATTGGCTGAGATATAGCTATGGCTCTGGGCTGGAGGGGGATATTCGGGATTTCACAAGGGGTCTCCCCACAAAATTGTGAAAAAAATGCGAAAAATATTTTGTGATCAGATTTTGATGCAGAATAGTGCAGAATCGATCCACAAATCGATTAAGGTACTCCGCTTGAGAATCGGATGAGAATTGGCTGAGATATAGCTATGGATCTGGGCTGGAGGTGGATATTCGGGATTTCACAAGGGGTCTCCCCACAAAAGTGGGAAAAAAATGCGAAAAATATTTTGTGATCAGATTTTGATGCAGAATAGAGGAGAATCGATCCACAAATCGATTAAGGTACTCCGCTTGAGAATCGGATAAGAATCGGCTGAGATATAGCTATGGCTCTGGGCTGGATGTGGATATTCGTGGTACTGTCGGCACTGTATCCCACTAATCTTTAAAAAAGAAAAATGGCGGACAAAAAAATGGCCGTTTTAAAAATCTGATTATATTCCTTAAACCTCCCTCAACTCCTTACCGATTATATTGAAATCGAACATCGGCTTTTAACAAATAATGCAGATCAGGGGCTCCTTCGTAAAGCACTTCTTCCTGTCGACCCATAATGGAGGGCCTGAAAATAAAAAAAGAATCTTTAGAAATACCAAACATTTAAAATAATAAAACCATAACCCACTGTGTATATTGCGAAAAGAAAGGATCCGTGGTAAAAGGATGAATCTCTAAAACTGTCTCTAAAATCAGGCCTGTAATGCGCTGGAATATAATCCTGATGACATCTTCCGATGGTTCCACATCGATGCGATCCGGCAGAAGCCGCAACATGGCCAGGAAGAAAGGACTTTGAGGCTTGTCCGATGGTCGGGGTTTTTCAATTTTTTTATCGACCCGTTCGTGTTTGCTGATATCGAGTTCCGAAGGACCCAGTTCATCATGAACCTCAAAGGCCCAGGCCAGATCGGCAAAACTTTTGATGGTAATACGATAAAGCATTTGATAGACCATCATATCGCAGTAAGTTAAAAAGCTAAAAAAATAAAATTAATTAAAATACTATATATATTTAAATTAATCTTACTTTGTTAAAGTTTTACAAAAGGCTCTTTTTCGAGCTCTGTCCATAAAACTGTGAGCCTCTCGCATCTTTTTCAAAGAAGGATAATAGTTAACCTCATCATCTGGATAGAAGCCACGGGCCTGAATGGCATCTGTGCAAGCTCGAACTTAAAATAAAGTTTAAATATATATTTTTTAATAATAATATTATATAATACCATTACTCACATATTGTTTTGCCAATAAATTCTCGAAAATCTGTAAATATCTTGTGCAATGTTTCGTATATCCTCATATGTGTCTCCAGGAAGTAGAAAGGATGCCAGTTCTCTACATTGCTGACATTAACAAAATTTAAACGTTCCATTTGTACGATATCGCTTCTCATTCGTAGAATTGCTTTCGCCAATTGGGGTATTACGATAAATAGATTATTTTGTAAAAAGTCACGGGCTTCGTTCAATTTCCGCCACTTGATCGTCTTCTCCCACACCTTGAATCCCTTCCAGAGACGAAAAATGGAAAAGGATCGTATCTGAATGATGCTCAGGAATTGTTCGAACTCCTGCTGCCATTGATCCAGGGGCGTGAAGAAGTTCTCGGAGCAATGCCAGAAGGTAACACCATGACGGGTCACCGTGTAGAAGGGTTCGTAGGTGTTCAGGTCGCTGTACTCCACCAAACGGAGACTGTACGGCGTAAAGTATTCACTGTCGTGGGGCAGCATATAGTCCATATAGACGAAGGAGTCGTCGGGCATGTTGCGCATTCGATTAATCACCAGATTTAGATCCGGAATGAGTGAGGCTCCGGTGGTGATTTTTGTGGAACTGGCAGTACGCGATTTTCCACCAACAATGGTACTTTTGGTGCCCTAAAAAGAAAAATATTTAAATATTTGAACTTATCGATATAATCTCATCACTATTAGCGATGGTTTCGATAACTTCGATAAAGAATCGAAGACCTACTTGGAAATTGAGCTTGTGTTTGGTCCTCCTCCTTCCTCCACCATCTCCCTGCGAAGGACCTCCGAAACTGCCGTCCATATTGTCACTGCCCCGATCTCCCAATCCCGTAGCATCACTGCCCATCCTCTCCACTGACATTCCGCTGATTCGGTCGTCGTTGGTCAGCCGCGGGGTGGCCAGATCGCTCTCCCGATCTGACACCCCACCGGCGCCGCCACCATCACTCCGCCTCGTCTTGGACATTCGCTTAACACGCCTCTTCCGGCTAGTGACTTCGACCCCACTTCCGCCTCCGCCACCAGCTTGTCTTCGACTTCCGATTTCAATGCCATCACCGCCACCGCTGCCACCGAGGACGCGGTCCTCATCCTCCTCATCATCGGAATCACGGCTGGACATTTCCGGCTTTTATGAACTGTAGTCGTGTGTGTGGGCTATGTTTTGATCGGTTACGCACCGACTGACAGCTGGGGGTTTTCCGGTTTGTTTGTTGGGTTGCCATGTTTACTGTTCTACCCTATCCGGTTGTGGTTACGGATTTTCCGTTACCTGGTCACGTGGTCTTGTTTATTGGTAAAAGCTTTTTCAGCTTTTTTTCCAAGATCCTTGCTGGAAATATTTGAAAATTCTTTCAAGTTGAAATTTAAAGGATAAAAATATTTAGTAACATAGTAAAATATTAAAAATATCTTAGACTATTTATCTTTTTAAATCTTTTAAATTTTTAAATAAACCATTGACTTATATTTTACTTATAATTATAGTTATATTTTAATCTTTTGTTGTACAAATGTTTGAAAATCCAATAATTTGAAACATTTTTAAAAGAAAACTTTAAAATATTCGCCATTTTGTTATTATTTTCAGAAAATTCGAAATTAAAGCTTTTATAACTTTTAGTTTTCTCCTTCAAGAGCTTTCAATGAAGAGAAAGCTTTAACATTTTTGAATAGTCTAAGATTAGAACTTAATTTATGTACATATTCCAACAAATTCAAAAAAATTAAGAAATAAATAAATACATTTGTATTTAAAAGTTTTAAAAGATACTAAAGACATGAGAACTTGAAAAATTTCTTAAAAATAAGGACTTTAAGCCCTAAATTGACTAATTTTAAAGGAGTAAAAAATTTCCATTTCAGTAAAATATTTTCTTAAAAATATTATTATTTTCCATTACTTAAATATATGTATTTTCCATTACCATTATTTACTTAAATATTTTCCATTTTTGTTTTCTAAATTTTCAATTCAAAACTTTAAAATTTCTTTCAATTTTCTTAAAATTTTCTTAAAATTTTCCAATTTCTAACAATTCAAACTAACGGTTTCTCGCATTTTTTTTGGAAGAGCTTTTCTCGGTTGGAATTTGGAAATTCGAAAATCTGCTGCATTCCGCTGCGGAATTCAAACTGTCCCAGTTTCCACCCGCGAACTTTTCTGCAGGACGCCGCACCGCCAGCATCCTATTGCCTCCCAGGACGAAAAAGCCAAAAAGGATTCGAGCCTGGAAGCCGGCATTTCGGTTTTTTGCGGCGTCCAAGCTTGTCGATGGTTGCGGCGGGCAGGGGGGGTGGTTGGTTGACCTTCAAAAGCTACATAGGTGCGTGCATGCGAAAGCTTTTATGTTTCGATATCGAAAAGCTCAAGGTGAAAGCATCTCCTGGCGCTGCTGCTGGCGCAGTCGCTGCCGCAACAAGCAGCCAACGCCGGCAGAGAAGTCCGAATCGGGACTCGGGAGTCGGGTGCTCGGATTTCGGATTTCGGATTCGGATGCGAATCGGTGGCGGGCGACTCGGTTGGGGACTCCGCACAGACGACACAGACGGTCTCCAGCGTCAGCGTTGGAGCAGTCGTTGGGTAAACGGCGCGATGTTAAGAGCCGCGACACGCGATTCGCAGCAGCAGCAATATCCCGCAGCAGCAGCAGCAGTAGTAGCATTAGCAGTAGCAGTGCCAGTGCCAGTGGCATCCGTAGCACCACCACCACCACCACTACCACTACCACTACCATCACTATCAGCAGCAGCAACACTTGCAGCATCCGCCGACGCCGCCGCCGTCGTAGCAGCACCACCAGCAGTAACAGCATCAGCCGGAAGACCAAAAAACGACCTTTAAAAAAAAATTCTAAATTATAAAATAAAAAAAAATAAAAAAGGAGAAATTTTTTAGTGTTAGTATTTAGCCGTAAACTGCTGTCCGCCGTAAAATCGCAGCTTCCGTCGTCATCCTCGTTCGTCGTCGTCGCTGTCCTCGTCGTCGTCGCGTCTTTTTTCAAAAAGAAATCCTTAATTCTTTTTTCAATTTTTTTTGCATATTTTTTCTAGTGTACGCGACGCGTTAATTAAAAAAAATATTAAAATTAACAATAAACAACATAAATTTTTTATTTAAAAAAATTATCTAAAAAGAAAACAACAAGCTCTGAGGAGGTAGGTAAAAAAAAAAAAGACCATCCCCCCCACGACAAGTTTTTTTTTTGGCGGTTTTGAAAAATAATTATTTATAATATTAGTGTGTGTGTGTTTGTGTGTGTTTGTGTGGGTGAATCTTAATTTTTTTGATTATGTTGACGCTGTGCTTTTATTAATATTTAAAGAACTATAAAACTCTTGTGACGTAAATACATGAACCTCGAGTCCAAAAAAAATTAAAATTTTGAAAAATTGTGTTTTTTTTTTGGATTGCGTCGCATCGTTAAAAATGTATATTTTCATATTCAAAATATTGCAGCACAGGTCTCGCACATTTGTAAAATACATAAAAATAATTATTATTTCGTCTAATATTTTTCAAATAATGTTTTTCTATTTATCTTTTTTTTTTGTTTTAATGGCTTTCACATGGAAAATGTTAAACTAAGCGTAGATATTTTTGTTTTTGTTGTTTTTCTTTGAAAACCGAAAGGTATTATTATTTTGGGGGCTGCCTTTGATAATTTTGTTTGTACTTTTCCCCTCAGCTTTCTTTTTATTTTTCTACGATCCATTGAGGACCTCATGAAGATTTTTCTTCATCCTTACTATTTTTTTTTTGGATTTTTTTGCGCACTGCCATTGGAAATGTCCTTGAACATTTTGTGTGTGTTTGTGTGTGTGTTTAAATGCGTATCTTTCCGCCTGTATTGGTGTGTGTGTTTAGGTGTGTTGTGTATATGTGTATATGTGTGGGTGAGCATCACTCAAATAGGGCTGGTTTCTTCCTAATAGCCCCGCCATGTCCTCGCAAAAGTGCCTAATGAAAGACAAAAGCCAAGTTAAGAAAATTCAAACAAGGAGCTAAAAAAAAGAAAAACCAGAAGGATAACAGAGTGAAAGCCGAGAAGAAAAGTTCAAACTTTCAAAATAACCAGTAGGCAGGGGGGATGCTTCATTGAGGAGAGGTCCTTCCACCAGCCACCATGCCCCCCAACTTTCTCAGTTTTATCAAAAAATCAACTAAATTTATGATTCAATTAAATTATTTCAATAAATGGGTTTATAAGAGGTGGGATATTTAAGTTAGGTTTTGAAAAAGAGACATAGTTTTTGGGGGTTTTGAGATCTCTTTGGGGAAGGTCTAGGTTTTGGGCTAGGTTTAGCTCTTGTTTTTATACCCTTGCAGAGGGTATTATAATTTTGTCCAAAAGTGTGCAACGCAGTGAAGGAGACATCTCCGACCCTATAAAGTATATATATTCTTGATCAGGATCACCTCCTGAGTTGATATGAGCATGTCCGTCTGTCCGTCTGTCCGTCTGTCTGTTTCTACGCAAACTAGTCTCTCAGTTTTAAAGCTATCGTCTTGAAACTTTGCACACACCCTTCTTTCCTTTGCACGCAGTATATAAGTCGGAACGGCCGGGATCGGCCGACTATATCCTATAGCTGCCATATAACTGATTGATCGGAAATGGTATAACTTTGGTGTTTTTAGAGTTAGAGAGTTCAAATGAGAGCTATTTTTGGCAAAACATTACGTCATGCCAAATTTCATAAGGATCGGCCGCCTATATCTTATAGCTGCCATATAACTCAACGATCGGAAATGACCCAACTTTCGTGTTTTTGAAGATAGAAAGCTGGAATTTAGTACAGACTCTATTTTTGGTTAGTTGATCCAACCTACCAAATTTCATTAGGATCGGCCGACTATATCCTATAGCTGCCATATAACTGAACGATCGGAAATGACCCAACTTTTGTGTTTTTGAAGATAGAAAGCTGGAACTTGGTACAGATTATATTTTGATCCATCCTACCAAATTTCATAAGGATCGGCCAACTATATCCGATGTTTGCGATATATATCCGGTTTTAGCTGCAAGGGTATATAAACTTCGGCTCCGCCCGAAGTTAGCTTTCCTTTCTTGTTATGATAATAATTTATGAAAAAAGACTAAAAGAAGCTTTAGATCTATTTTGGGAATATAATTTAATGTTTTTATGATACGATTTTGTTTTATAAAAGATTCCAAGTATTACCATTTCCCTATAATTTCTAAATATGTTATAACAACTATGTAGATAAAAGTCTTTATTACAATTCTTTCTATAAAAGTGTATATTCTTTGGTTCTTCATTATTTGAGAGGTGTTTTCCCTTACCCTTATCCTATAACCCTTATCCTTTCTCGCCTAGTTTACATTTTAAATATTCTGAAAGTATGTACATCTTTATATAGAAATAAAGAAAACTTATAGAAACTTGATGAAAAAAATAGGATTAGAAAAGTTTACAAAACTAATCCAACTTGGTGGAGGGTTATGTTAAAACATATTTTCTAATCCATTTTTGTAAAGCTTTAAGTGTTAAATATACATAATAATATATGTATATATTTATAATTGTGTATGTTTTGTTGTAATAATTATGTTAAATTAAGATATATTATAGTTATATGATTAAATCAAAACAATTTACACTATGTATTATAGCTCTTTGTTAAAGCAGATATAGGGATATTCTTAGGCATTCTTAGGCAGATATAGGGGCATATATGTATATATGGGCAGATATAGGGATAAAAGTAAAATTTATAATAACAGATACAGGGCTTTTTATTCTATTAGCAAACCCTATGTTTAAAACTTGTGTAAAGGAATGATTATTAAGTTGTATATATTATAGTGTTAATGTAAGTATTTGTTATATTTTTCTTTACATTTTAGCAATTATGATAAAGATAATGAGAATAATTTCATGATGACTTTTATTATAAATTTACAATATTATGACTTTAATTTCTTTTCAACATAAGTTACTTTATCACGTTTTTTTTGGGAAACAAATGTTCTGGAAGTTTATAGGAGTTATAGTTTATAGTTTTAGTTTATATTTTTTTAGGAGTTTATAGTTTTCGTAAATAGAAAGTTTCTTTTGACAATATATGTATGTACATATATAAAATAAGTTTATAAAAGAAAGCATTTCTAATACATTTTAAAATATAAAAGTAATAATTTTATAATTGAAGTAAAATACAAACATTAAAAGTGTTTTAATGGAGTTTGTATGTAGTCTACAAAAATAGCTATGCTTTAAATTTTAGGAATATGCATACATCTTTGAGTAGAGTTTTTTTAAACAAGGTTTACTCTATTTAAAAAGAGTTTTTTTCAGTTTAAAATACACTTGAAGAAACTATTAAGAGGCAATATATTGTATCCCAATTAATAACCCATGTAAACCCTTTTAAAAATCGAATAAAAAACATTGCTAAAGATGTGATACCTTAAAACAATTAAAAATTAACTTAAAAATAACACTTATAAAGTTCAAATTTTTTGTTTAAGTGTAGTGACAGAATGTTGCCATTAGCGAAACGAAACGAACTGAAATGAAATGAAATAAAACTACAAAAGACAAAGTCAAGTTGCGGAGCTCTTTGGCCCGCGGGCCGGAGCCGTAGCCGGAGCCGGAGCACAGGAATTCGCTTAAATTGCAAAGAATGCGAATTTGGTTAAAGACCTGGGAGGAAGTGTTGGCCGGGGGGGGTGGAGGGGTGGTGCGGTGCTGGCAGGATCCATTCAATGTGCAAAAATTTGCACGCCCCAGCGCAGCAAAATGGGGGGCTGGCAGGACCGGTAGGACTGCCAGGAGGTGGAAGCAGGCGTGGCAGGTAACCAACCACCACCTTGCGCCCCGCACCGTGCTGACAGCATCTCGAGCCCTCCAGGGAACAAGGCGAATTCTTTATCAAAATGTATGACAAGTTTAAAAAGCCTTGCGGAGAACATCAGCGAAATAAAAGGGGGCGAGAATATGGTGTAAAAAAAAAAGTTAAGGGGGTAGGCCAATGCGGAAAAGGATAAAGGCTAGAGAGCAATATAGGGTTAGGGGAGGCTCAAGGCTTTAGCTTTTCGTTATACTTTTCTTTTATTTCTTAAGGGTTAATGCCAAGAAATAAATCAGCTTACAAAAAAACAGGTAAGAGAAGCTAGTTTCCGAGGGGGGAGGAGGGGGGAGGTGGAGGTTTATATACTCTGGGAGGTGTATTTTGGTATTAGAAGGAGTTGAAGACTGGTGGCTATAGGTTATGGTTGGTAGTTCTTTGAGAAAGGTTCGGGAAGAGAGTAGTTTTCTTAAAAAAAATATAAGAAATATTTTGAAACTTTTATTTTTCAAAATATTTAAGAATCTGCTGATTTTTAAGGTTAATTATTTAGTAGCTTTGCCTTAAAACTGGCATATCCTTCAAAGAAAGTCTAGATGTATGGTATAGAGCTTACCTATGATAAGATTTAGTCTGTCTATTTGGTTAGCTTTGGTATATATACTTCTTGATATATTAATAAGGCTGTATACCAAATTTCAGCTTCATAGCTTTAAAACTAAAGGACTTATTAGCCAAAGAATAGCTTAACGGACACGCGGACAAGCGGACAGTAGATATTTCTAATATTCCTATTCTAATACATATGCTGCCTTTAAGCAGACATAATAAACAGCATGTATACCAAATGTCAGCTCCGTAGCTTTATAACTAAAGGACTTATTAGCCAAAGAATAGTTTTGCGGGCACGCGGACAAACGGACAGTGAATTTTCTTAATATTTCTATTCTAATACATAAGCTGCCTATTATAATAAACCGTCTGTATACCAAATTTCAGCTCCATATCCTTAAAACCAAAGGACTAGACTAACCAAAGAATAATTTAACGGACACGCGGACAGACGGACATGCGGACAGACGGACAAATCCCCTCAAAACTAACCTTTCACAAAGGAAAAAGCATTAAGCCATTATATACATTTTAAATAGCACACTTGATATGCAAATTGTGAGAATTATTTGAGAGAATTTGTAGATGCAACTCCTTGGCATTGATGGCCATTGGAGCCATCGCCAAAGGACACACTCAATTATTGAGAAATGTCAAAGTTATGTTTGTGGAGACTGGAATTTAATGAGCAATCGCTTCTTGGCTTTCTGCCAATTAATTTCAATGACTATTAAGACGAAATATTGAGTTGATTTACACCGAAACGTTGAGGCTTTTGATTACTGCATTAAGTGACCTCATTAAAGGGCCTGCACTTAATCGATATACCATACCATACCACCAACGCACATTCCTACTCCACTTTAAAGCCATGAAACGCACTATACTAGTGCGAGAGAGATGGCAACAAAATGTGGAAAACTAGGTTTATTTGGACAACCCCAATCCCATCGGCAGTTTCAGCAAACACTTCATCCATCACCCACTCAGTTACTCAGATACGCAGATACTCAGATACTTGCACGCACCAAGTTACAAGGATTCAGATACTTAGATACACACGCAGGCACAAACACACGTACTCACTTATACACATATATATACATATATCCTTAAAGAAACGACCATAATTTGTTGCAAATTTATTGAAAAGCCATAAAAAAAATTTCCGTTTCCTTTGCTTTCCGCTCTTCTTCTTTTTTTCCCCCTCATTTGCAGGCCAGGGGCTAGAGGGAGGTGAAAATAAAACAACAAAGTATACAAAAAAAATAGGAAGAGGAAGGAGGAAGGAGAATAAATACCATTTGGACACACCAACCCCCCCCACCACCACTCCAATCCAAATCATTCTCCCCAAATGGCGACGGTGGATGGAAGACGAGGAGGAGCAAGCAAATTAACAGGGAGATCCTGCCCAGGATCCAAATCCAAATCCCATCCATGGAACAATGAGCCATTCAAAGCGTCCAAGTAATCGACGAGAAAATAATCGAATTCGGTTAACGGTTTCGCGAGTGCTGTCACTTCCGTTTCCGCTTTCGTTTACGTTCCCGTTTCCGTTTCCGTTTTGTATTGTGTGTGTTTGCTGTAATTGTGATTTCGTCTAAAAAAAAATCTAATATTTTATCTAATTTTTTTTTCTTCTCTTATTGCACTTCACAAAAAAAAAAGATCTTGCCCAAAAATAACTCAAGATTAGAGAAAAATTAATTAATTAAATTAATTAAAAAATTTGTATAAGAAAAAGTAATCATGATGGAAATCGGTTAAATGAATACAAAGAGTTTCCGAGGGCAGTTCCAAAAACACTGTGCATCGTGATTGGGGCTCGAATCGAAACGTAACGAATAGAATATCGAATCGAATCGAATACAATCGATATCGCATCGATATAATATCGAATCGAAGTCATCTCGTCGCTTTTTTCTCCCGTCGTCTGTTCTACGCTGCTCTTTCAACATAATCAAATCCTAACTATGGATATTAACAGTTCTAATTACAATTAATTATCAATAGAAATCTACGATTCAAATTAATTACAAAATACATATTCAAAAATACCCAAAATACAAAACAAAGAACTCGGCTAAGCCACAGAAAAGCAATAAGGTGAGTTTTGTCACTTTTTGTTATTTAAAGTCATAGAACTAGTTGAGAATTTTAGATAAGAAGAACAGTATATTATGTTAGGTTATGAAGTTTTATTTTTTGAGCAATTATTGTGAGTATTTAATCATAAAGTCGAACTAGAACCCTAGATAGATATATAAACTATTTGAAATACAATTTTAAAATAACATTAACAATTTTAAAAAGTTGGGTATTATAGATGGGAGATGCGCACAATAATGTTAGGTTATGTTTTTTAAGGTTAGGTTATAAAGTCTTATTTTTTGAGCAAGTATAGTGAGGTATTTATTATAAAACCTATTTAGAACCTTAGATAGGTAGATGACTATTTGAAATCGTATTAAAAATTTTATTAAAAGAGGTTAAAGTTGGTTATTATAGATTAGAAAAACGCATTTTAATTTTAGGTTATGTATTTTAAGGTTAGGTTATAAACTTTTGTTTTTTGAGCAAATATTGTGAGTATTTAATCATTAAATCAAACTAAAACCATAGCTAGACAAAAAACTATTTGAAATCGTATAAAAAATTCCATTAACAAATTAAAGTTGGGTACTAGAGATTAGAAGAACGCTTTATAATGTTGGGTTATGTTTTTTAAGGTTAGGTTAGGAACACCTCATAATGTTAGGTTATGATCTTAAGGTTTAAAATTATATATTTCGCGTAATTTATCAAAAAACCTATCTGAAACTCTAGCTAAATAGATAACTATTTGAAATCCCATTTGAAAATTCCATTAAAGCCTCTCTGGACTTAATAAAGGCATTGAAAAACAGAAAAAAAACAGGCTTTGAAATATCCTGGCCACCAAACCACGTAGCTCTAGTCAATAAAAATTGTTTCAAGCCCACAAGGACACATCTATGTATGTACCGTGGAATAATTTGCGGATACCATTCCGCTTGTGCTCCGCTCTGCTCTGCTCCGGGATGGCTATTTTCGGTGTCCCTTTTCTGTGACACATAATTGCGAAAAATAATTCAATTTGCTTGCATTTTATGGGTCCAAAAGCAAATCATTGACAATAATCAACAAGAGGAAAAGGTCGTGGGCGTGCCGCGACGGGGTGTGCCCGTATATCGAGGATAGAAAGAAGCTTGGCCTGGGGCCAGGACACCCAGTAGTTGGTCCAAAATCACAAAAAAAAAAAAAAAAAAGGACAGTCCTTTTCCCGAATGGAAGCAACAGCCTCCGCTGGCTCGTAAATGTGAATGATGCTCTGATGGCCGGGCGGGGACTACGGCTGACTCCGGGACTCCGGCGGAGTCCGATCTGCGGCCCGTGGCTGAGCTAAAGTACCCATAAACATTTTGTGTCCAGCTTAGCCTCTGTGTGTTTGCAAAAAAAACAAAAAAAAATCGACCACTGGAAAAAAATACCAAAAAAAGTATTGAAAACTTTTGGTATTAAATATTTTTTAATTTTAAAAATTATAAAAAAAACCTTAGTCCTTGGATTATAGTATATTTTTTCTCAGTGTTTATTTTGCTTTACGGCCCTGACTCTTTTTTTTTTTGCAAAAAATTGCAACAGCAGCTTTGGACATGTTTGTGCAGGCTTTTCAAAATACTAAAATACCAAAATACCAACAAAGAACAAAAAGTCGACTTAAAATATAGTAGAAGAGGAACCTCAAACAAAAGGAAACACACAAAAATATGCGTACAAGGTCGTTCCCCTTCAGCCGCCCCCCCACTCCTACCCCAACTCAAGTGTCCCCCCCCCACCACTTGCAGCTTCCTCTCGGTTTGCGCACTTCCTTCATATTATTATTCGCTGTGTTGCTTGGCGCTTTCCATTCCTTTTGCAACATTGTTGTGTATTTAATTTGGCCAGTTTCTGGAAGCATCCTGTCCCTTTCGCACTCACTTTCATCCAAGGAGTGCTGCCAAGGAGCAGTCCTAAACGTGGGAGGGGGAGTGGGGGATGGGGCGCAATTTTACGACTCACCAGAGGCATCCTCCTTTGCCTTGTTGTTGTTTTTGTTGTTTTTTTGGTCATCTACATTCTCCTTCGACTGCTTCTTAACTTGCTTATTGTGTGTATGTGCCTGGAATCCTTGTTGTTTTTTTTTATTTGTTATGGTTTTTTGTCTTCTTCATAATTTTAACCACTAACGGTTTCTTTTGCCTCGTATTGTTTTTGTAGTATTATTATTTTTTGTGTTTTTTTTTTTAAGCCACTTCATTTTAATGGAAATTATGAAGAGAGTTACTTTTTTTTGGAAATTTTCTAGATTTTCAAGTGAGTTGGAATTAAGTTAATATTTTTTATAAAGAATGAGAATATCTTGTTGATTTTCTTTGGTAGAGGGTTTGTTTATAAGGAAAGTCTATGAAACCATGTTTAAAAGTTTGTTAAAAATGGCTGCCTATATTTTTTTAATCTTAATAAAAGTTATTTTGAAAATAAAAAGGTCTATATCCAAATTTAAGCTGCATTTTGTGCAACAAAAACTGAGTTTCTTTGGTGATTTATTTTTAGTACAATAGTTATGGATAAATCACTATTTATTTTTAATAGAAGTAACAAACTCATTTTAGATATGGTATTTATTGTTAATTTCTTAACTATTGAACATCCTTTCAAGGACCGAACTCTCTATCGAAGAAAAACAAACTTATCGATATTTTATAGTCTGTCCTTCTTTAATTTCATTTAAGGTAATTTCATTTAGCTCTTTAAAATGAAATCTGAGATCTTAAAGCTTATTATTTTCTCTTTGAAAGTTGTTTTGTTAGGAAATATTAGCTAGATATGGTAATATTCATTAATTTCTTGACTATCGAATATCCTTTCAAGGGCAATGATACCCCACTCTCCACTGGAGAAATACAAACTTATCGACAGTATTACCCCAACTCCTTATCAAAGAAATACAAACCTATCGAAATTTTATAGTTTGTCCTTTAATTCCTTTTCAAGTTAAATTACCTTAAGATTAGCTCTTTAAAATGAGATTTTAAATCTTAAAACGTATCTTTTTCTTCTTTTTTTTTAAATATTTAACTATCGAATATCCTTTCAAGGGCAGTGTTACCCCAACTCCTTATCAAAGAAAAACAAACTTATCGATATTTTGTTTTTTTTTAGTTTTTCCTTCTTTAGTTTATGTTTTCATAAAAAACCTGAATCTTAGCTTTTGAAATTGTCAAGTTATAAAGAAGTTCTTGTTTAATTTTTAATTTTATTAAGTTTTGTAAGAATTGCAATTTTCCCGCTTTTACGTGCATGAAAATGAGATTTGCCTGTTGCCGTTTTGGTCGTTTTGTTTTTTTTTTGTTTTGTTGGCTTTTGGTTTTTTCCAAAAATAAAGTGCGTTTTGGGAGCAGAGCGACAAGAACGACAAACGACATCCAAGCGACTGCCAGCCAAGATTTCTAAATTTATGTAAGTTTTATTTTCGTTTTATGGCTCTCCTTGTTGTTGTTGTTGTTATTGTTGCTTTTGTATTTGTTGCATTTCGCATGTGCCGCTCGGTTGCGTTTTCTGATTTTTTTTTTCATTTTTTTTTTTCTTTTTGTAACTTCTATTTTTATCTTGACACACTCACACACTATGGCTATTTTATTGCATTCGCGTTGCTCTTTTATTCGCACTTTTATTTATTGTTTTCCCTTCCAATTATTAGGCCATTACACATTTTTTTGGCCCAAAATCATCCTAAACATCCCAATATCCCAATATGGTTCCATATCCTTTCCATTGAAAAACCCTGAACAAGAAAACTAAAAACAATGCTCGGATCTTCATTAAAATGTTTCATTTCGCTGCTATTTGTTTGTTTTTTTGGTCACAAAAAGCCAGTAACGACAAAAATTCGGGTATTGTTTTGTGGGCGAAATAGTCTGGGGGTTTGGGGAGAGGGTGGGGGGTATTGGTCAATTTATTTTGTGGCTCTTAAACCGTGGCAACGTTGCATATTTAACGATATAGCATACGGTATGCTGTGGGGCACAACCGAATTAAAGCACGTGTGTGTGTGCCACCCAATCCATTGGAAAATTGCTTGCTTTTGTTAGTTTTTTTGAGTGAGAGTTGCATTTGCAATTCCATTTGATTTATGCGATTTTGATATCAAAAAATAATATAAAACCAGGGTCTAATAGAGCTCTATAATAAAATAGAAAAACCTAAGGTCTAATATTCCTTTAATTTTAAACCAAATTCCCCCTCTGAGACAATAACAAATTGGCAACTAAAATCAAACCAATTGGAAATCGGCCTACAAGCGATCAGAAGTGGTTTCTTCTATACTTTTTTTTTTTTTGTGTGTCACATGTGTTTTATAGGCCCACGCAAACGCAGCAAAAAAAAAATAGATTAGAAAAAATATGGACAGTGGGACAGACATGCGATAAATCGCCGCTGATATTTATAGAGGAGTTTAGTTTAGTTCAATGACACACCCAGCTAAAGAAAACAAAAAAACCTAAATAAAAACTAAAACAAAAAACACGACATGACCTTGTAATACCCTTTCGTTTATAAAAATGGCCTACATTTGCTGATGAAAAAGTGCTTGTTTAATAATCATAGGCCTAACCTTTCAATATTTATTTCTATTGATAATAATCGATTGATTATCTAAAGCCTTAAGCGATATTTATCGATAGAAGATAAGCTTCCCTTTGAAATTTCTTGAAATATAATGGCCTACTTTTATTAAGTATTATTACTATCGATAAGTATCATTTGATTATCCCTCCGCCTAAAAGCTTTAATCGATAATAATCGTTAGTTATTATCTAAAGCCTTAATCGATATTTATCGATATAAAATAGGCCTCTCTTTGATATTTCTTGAAAAATAATGGCCTACTTCTATCAAGTATTATTACCATCGATAACAATCGTTTGATTATCTCCCCCACCTCTAAAAGCTTTAATCGATAATAATCGTTAGTGATTTGTTTTTAAAGAATTTCTTTAATTTTTTCATATCCTTTTTGTTATTTAGGCCTATCCTTATTTCTC